TGGGGACTTGGGGAAAGGATTTATCTGTTATCATTTTATATGAATTTGATTAAATCAATTTTGAGTCAATTAACACGTAAATGTAAATGAATAATTGTTTAACTTACAATGGATGAGCAAGAGCTTATGCACATGTGTACCTTTTGTTGGGATTAACGCAAATTAGAAACAAAGCCTTTAGCATAAGTGAAAATGTCATCCCAATAAGGTGAATCAAATTTAAAGTCACCTTTAACAATCTGAGCAAAAAGATTGGCATCATTTTCATCATAAAAAGGCGGATAACCACACAAAAATATGTATGCAATTGACCAAACATCGACTGCTTTTCCATACGGTTTTTGGGATAATACTTCAGGTGCAACGTAACCGAGTGTACCACATGCTGTCTGATTACACCTCAATCTTCCATCTTGGAAAGTCCAAAATCATCGATCATTATTTTTGAATCAGGATCATGATTGAGGTAAAATAAATTTTGGGGTTTCAAGTTTCAGTGAACAACACCTTGACAATGCATATAATCAACGTCTTCCAATATTTGACAGATAAGTGCACTTTCGTCTTTTTCAGTGTAATTTCTTTTCACTTTCTCAGCTATGCACTCAAAAAGTTCACCTCCAAGAGGAAACTACCGAACAGCTGTCATTCGCAAATCATGTCCAGACCTTTTTCTATGAAAAATTTTTATGTTTTCGAAAATCGAAACCATTTCACTTTCCGTTCAAAAGAGGCAGGTTGTCAAAGCTGTGAAGTTGCATTGATCCGGGCGGCACTCAAAATAGCCAAACCAAAACAACCAAATGCAAAATAGCCAAATTCAAAATGGCCAAATATAATAGGCTTAAATAAGACAACACTAATCAGTTTAAATTTGGTAAAATAAGAGCAAACCAATTTCATTTACAAATAGTGCTTCCAAATATGGACTTCTCTTTCATTGAGTCAAATAAAGGCCATCCTTTAATTGTGAAAAATAATTATTTATATCGAAAAAAGTCAACTTATAATGATGTCTCATATTGGGTTTGTGAAGATAAGAGCTGTAAAGCTCGTGGTAAATTAGACAACAATATATTTTCAACCAGTGGTGAACACTCACACTCTTCGGAATCAACTTTAATCATACAAAAAAACAGTCACTCGAAATAAAAAAAATAGCCAAGGATGATCTATCATTGAATGGTTTGCAAATTTACACCAAATCTTTAAAAGCTTCATCAGATCTAAATCTAAGTGACGAAAACATTGGGTGCAAATTGAAGCCATTTATTTCCCTACAATCAACTATTTCTCGACAAAAACTGCAACAAGTACCTAAGTTGCCTAAATGTAGATCAGAAATATTGTTACCAGAACAGTACCGAATCTTGGAAAATGGTGAAAATTTTCTCAATGCTAATGAAGGTGATATGGATAAAATTATGGTCTTTTCAACATTCGATTTTTTTCAACGTTTGTGTCAGTCAAATAATATTTTTATGGATGTTACCTTCAAATCTTGTCCAACACTCTTCAGTCAACTTTACACGGTTCATGTGATGGTTGACAATTTGATGGTTCCAATAATTTATGCGCTCCTACCAGACAAACGTAAGTCTACTTATCAAAGACTGTTCGTAATTCTAAAAACTTATGCAATACGTCATGGATTAATATTGGACCCAAAAAGCGTTTCATTGGATTTCGAGCAAGCTGCTATTTCTGCTATTCAGTCAGAGTTTCCTAATGCTGAAATAAATGGATGCATGTTTCATTTTTTGCAGTGTATATGGAGAAAAGTTCAAAGCTTAGGATTGTTTCAGATTTTTCAGAAAATGGTGAACAGAATGAGTTATCTAAAACTGTTAAACGATTACAATCATTACCATTAATCAAGGAGAAAGATATAAATGAAGTTTTTGAATACATAGTTAATCAAGCTCCTGAAAAACCTGAGAGATATGCTACTTAGCCATACTTAAGTTTGAAATGAAAGTTTAAAACGCTTTTTTTGTTATTAACATTGTTTTTTTGCTAACCATAAGCATGGTGTTTCCTGCATTGTTCTGCATTGTATCTACAGTAAGTATTATAATTCTTGCAATGAAACGACTCCAATAAATTCTATTACAATATGATGTTTACAGTTTGATTTTAATTTTAACTTGCTTGATTCTGATCGGCGCAAAATACGCGAACAGGAGATACTGATCAGAGCTTAAGCACCATTCTGAAAAAGCTAGCTCAACAATTAGTTATGGTCGGGTAAATTTGGTGAGTCAGTATTCTTCTAGCGAAGGTGAAGGTTGAAGAAGTGGATTGCAACAAAAAGTTGATGGAACTGCTGAATCTTGACAAAACAAAATAATAGTTAAAACAATGAAAAATCGATGTGAGGAACTGTGAGAAAATCAAAAAGTACAAAAAAACTTACCATTCGAAAATCTTGACTAGTAAGAACCTAAAGATGATTGAAAAAACAAAACACGAAAGACGCAAATGCACTCATCCGTCAAATCTTGGCCGACGTTGATTATATGCATTGTCAAGGTATTTTTCGCTGAAACTTGAAACCTGGTAATTTAATTTACCTCAATCATGATCCTATTTCTCCTAGAAAAAGTGGTCTGGCATAGCTGAGAAAGTGAAAGGAAATTACACTGAAAAAGACGAAAGTGCACTTATCTGTCAAATATTGGAAGACGTTGATTATATGCATTGTCAAGGTGTTGTTCACTGAAACTTGAAACCCCAAAATTTATTTTACCTCAATCATGATCCTGATTCAAAAATAATGATCGATGATTTTGGACTTTCCAAGATGGAAGATTGAGGTGTAATCAGACAGCATGTGGTACACTCGGTTACGTTGCACCTGAAGTATTATCTCAAAAACCGTATGGAAAAGCAGTCGATGTTTGGTCAATTGCATACATATTTTTGTGTGGTTATCCGCCTTTTTATGATGAAAATGAAGCCAATGTTAAAGGTGTCTTCGAATTTGTAGACCTCATTGGGATGATATTTCCGATCCCGCTGAAGATTTAATCTTATAGGCATTTTTTGCACTACTGAATCTGCGCCAAATCCTGATTCCGTTGATTATATGCATTTTCAAGGTGTTGTTTATTGAAATTTGAAACCCGAAAATTTACTTTTCTGCAATAAAGATTGATTAGTTGGAGGTTTTAGGTTTCTTTTGATCAGGATTTTAATTGGAATCCGTAGGTTAAACGTGGTCGTTACAGATCGTGTTACATTTGTAGGGGTCATAATATGCTTCAGCTTAAGATACATGAATTTAGAGTGTGAAAGAGTCGGACATATACAAGTACATGAAATATGGATAGATTTTAATTGAAGATAAGAAATTATGCGAGATGTTTTTTTATTGTGCGTGTTCCCTTCCTTTTGCTTGGTTTGTGAGTATTCTGCGGAAATCTATGGCTTCCTCTTTATAGATAATATTGGTTAATATTTCCCTTTCTTTTTAATTAAATAGTGGTTATCTTCAATGTGCTTATTGGTCTGTTTCTTTCTATGAGTAAGATACACACAGGGCATACTTGAGCACATGTAGAATTTTTAATATCCAGCGGTGGCTAGGTAGTCCAAGAATTTGCAATCGTGGTCTGAAATTGCTTTGTTCTTGAGGTATCGCTTAATGGTAAGCATTTGCCTTCTTTAGGATGCTGCCATTCTCATTTCGTTGCCGAAATTTGCTGTTTTCAACGTAGTTGGCTCTAATGGCTTTATTATCGATGTCTTTGTTGCCTTACGTTTCCATGTCTCTCTGGGCTATCTTTCTAGGCGCCTCTCGGCAAAAACTAAGTCGGACAATGTTGCTTCAGAATGACAACTATCAAGAAGGGAAAAAGGTCAAACGACCATCTGGTGATTTAAGGTCACGTACTGTAGTCTCCCAAACGGGACTATATAAAGAAAACATGAAAATTGATCATTTATCCAGAAGTTAAGTTTTGGATCCTCAAGTTTGAGTATTTGAGTATTTTGATTTGTGGAAATTTCGTCTTTAAGTATTTTGCTTGGTGTTAAGTAAAAGTTTTTGATATCTTCATTTCGTATACTTTACAGTATTTTCATATAACTATGGAAGCTAATAAAGAATATCAATTAAGTTTCGTCTTTGAAAACTGTTCCCTATCTTTATTAAACAGCTTAAACGGTCGTCAGACCCATACTCATCATTAGTATACTACACATGGAACCCGGCTCGGTGACAATATTTTCACTATTGTAGTGGTTAGTTTCTTTTTGTTTTGAGTTAGGGAGGGGGTGGTTAGGGCTTTTTGTTGGCCTTGGCCCTTTTTACCTCCAGTTTCATGTAAATCACTCTTGATTCTGAACAGTTTATTATTGAGACAAGCCTTTAATTATCTAATGTGTCAGGATGGAAGGAAATCTTGAATCAACAATTTTTCTCCCTTCAACCTTTTCAGTAATCAGGCAATTTAGTGATTAACAGTTGTTTTCATGTAAATCATTACAATGGAAATTTATATTTCAATTTTAGAATTAATAAGTTTTAATTGAATTTGAACACAAAAGTTAAATTTTTGAGCTCTGATTGCAATAAGGATTTCCGCTTGAAATTCGTAAATACAACAATTCTTAGATGATGATAATATTATAATAGATTAACATGAAAAAAACTCAAGCAACAATTGATAAATTGTATAGTCCTTTATTTTATATGTGTCACTCTTTATGTTTATTAAAAATTTAAATGTTTGTACGAAATTAGAATGTATTTTCTTGGTAAATCACTTTGAATATCACGCAAAAAATTATTTTGATTGGAAAGGCACATAGTAAAGAAATACCGTTACGTGAGCATTGCATTAGTAGGGTTTAGTAAAATTTCTTCATGTCATTATTAATTCTTCGATTCACGCATTTGTTTAACTTTTGCGTAAGCAAAAGGAGATATAAATCCCGCTAAATTATGTTTTCTTAACTCTGCACCATGAAATCAAAAAATATTATGCAATTTTACTTTATTTTTCATTGATATTGGATTCTTGGATTGCATTTCCATTCGATTCCACTTTTAACTCGTAGTTTGAACATCCGTCTCCTTCAGTGGTTTTGGTACCAGGACTTTTAATTGAAAATTGAGTCAGTGAACAAGAACTTTCTGTTCTACTTTTAGGACAGTAGTTGAATGATTGACATTTAGCTTTGCCATCAGACCATCGAAGACACAATGAAGCACATTGATCCAAGGTTAATTTGGTTTCGGTGCTAATCACATCTGATACTATTTTGTTTCCCGTTTTTTGGTATTTTCCAGCTGCTTTGGCTATAATAAAAAATCGAATTGGTTAAAGACTCAACTCATTGTAAGAATACTTACGAAAACATATTGTGCATTCTTCATCATATTGTTTATCTGCATCTGTGAATAAACCACCAAAACTACAAGAACCATCACAGTATTGAAACGATATGCATTCAGACGAAGCATGACAAGATTCTGCACAGAAATGCTGATCTGTTTGCATCACAGTTGAAAGCTGAGTTTTAAATTTTCTATTGAGTGCTTTTGAATAATCGTTGAGAATGTTAATAGAGAAAATTGTACAGTGGATGTCATTTTCAGTATGCAAGTCTCGATTTATAATGTCCGAAGACTGCAAGCTGCTTACTCTACACTCAGTTACACCACCAGTGTTGCAAAATGAAAAAGTAATGCACGAAACTTGATCTGAATCGTGACAGTTTCGGTAACAATCAGCAAAAGTTTTTACATCTGGCACATACAGAGTGAATTGATCATCGATTTTCAACGTTGCATCCCATCTATTTTCTGTAAAAACATTTCTTATACCTTTAATGTACTTTAATATGGATCGGAAATTTAAATATGTATAAGGTTCAGATCATGGTCTTATTTAAACCCTGGTTTTAACAAATTGAGGCTTTGATTTTATATTTATCAGAATATTCAAGATTACCTCATATTTTGATCTGAAATTTCGGCCCTCAGTTCGTGTAGTCTGAGCGAGTAATGAGCTCGAATTTTAAGTCTCCAGGAATATCTTTTAGGCGTATTTTTTGTGAAGCGTTAGCGTTCGTGAGTTTATGACGTTTATTGGTTGCTTCGCCAATCTTTTGAGCTTTGAAGCTTGCTAATTATAAAATAAAACTTTTGAACTTGAAGGACTATGGATAAATGACTTTTTCTAAATCAATCTGGAAACTTAATGGATGATTCCCTGATTACTACTTATTAAGAAATACAAATAAAAGTAAAATTTGAACAAATAACCAAAATCCTTGCACATAAAATACTAAATCCGAAAGCCGTTTTCAGGTGTTTTACAACTCAGGCAGTTGAAAAGAAATGAAAAACTGTTTTTAACAATATCACAAAAGTGTTGAATTCAACTGTTCATGTATTAGTGGTATTAATAGTTCATATTAACCAAGACTAAATAAAGGAGCCAGTTTATTTTTCATTTTGGCTCAAAACTTTTACAATGTGAACTAACTGTAATTTACATGAATGCTGAATTCATATGCGATTTGCAATAATTTACTTCTAGTATCTAAGATTTGCCAAACGCTACAAATGTTGAGATTGAGAATTCACGATTTATTTTAGACTGAAGATATAACAGTCAGTATGTTGGTTACAAGTGGTAAGTGTTAGTGCAGTCAGAGGTGACGGATCATTAAGCATTATCTGATTTTTTATGTATATTTAACATTTTTTGCACCATAATTCACTGCAAAAAGAAAGAATAAGAAAGATATCTTTCATATTAATCAGTTCTGAAATAATTCGAGTAATTCGGACATAATGAATACTATTCTATCGATTCGAAATAAGTTTATCTTTCATTTATCAATCTTATGATTTTCGTCCGTAAATCCAGGATCCAAACTATTTCGAAGTCCATTTAGAATAACTAAGGAAATCAAACTTTTTTCGGACTTTGAATTCAGTATTCACAATGAAGAATATTATTGTAAACTCAAAAGTGTATAATTTAATTATGCATCATGCAAATCTCTGCAAAGTATTCATCTAAACTTGATTTTAATTGAGCATTGATTTATAAGCATAATTTTCAGAAAAACTTTCTGGTCAACCTTATAATAAATCAACGATTCAACACTTTTTTATAACAAAAGATTTAATGAATATCTCCAATTTGTTCATCTATTTGTCTTTTCCAAGTGAAATCTATATTGACCTTTGAAGCTTCACGCATTTGTTTAACTTTTGCGTAAGCAAAAGGAGTTGTGAATCCCAATGCAGCACCGACAAACAGGAACAGTATAATTATACCAAAAGCACCTGATCCGGTTGTCCCTTTAACTTCTTCAGTTGAACTGGATTCTTTTTGTTTCTTTCCATTCGATTCCACTTTCAACTCGTAGTTTGAACATTGACCACCATCACTGGTTTTGGTATCAGGACTTTTGACTGAAAATTGAGTCAGTGAACAAGAACTTTCTGATCTACTCTTAGGACAGTAATTAAATGATTGACATCTAGTGTCACCATCAGACCATCGATGACACAATGAAGCACATTGGTCTAAAGTTAATTTGGTTTCGGTGCTAATAACATCTAATACTATTTTGTTTCCCGTTTTTTGGTATTTTTCAGCTGCTTTGGCTATAATAAGAAATAGAATTGGTTAAAGACTCAACTCATTGTAAGAATACTTACGAAAATATATTGTGCATTCTTCATCATATTGAGTATCTGTATCTGTAAATAAACCACCGAAGCTGCATGAACCTCCACAGTATTGAAATGATATGCAATCAGATGAGGCATGACAGGATTCTGCACAAGAATGCGGATCTGTTTGAACCCCAGTTGAATGCTGAGTTTTAAATTTTCTATTGAACACTATTGAATAATCGTTGAGAATATTTATGGAGAAAACTGAACAATCCATGACATGTTCAATATGCAATTCTCGATTTATAATGTCAGAAGACTGCAAGCTGCTTACTCTACAGTCGATTAAACCCTCAGTATCTGTATTACAGAATGAAAAAGTATTGCACGGAACTTGTTCTGAATTATGACAGTTTTGGTAACAATCAGCAAAGTTTTTTGCATTCAGTACAGTCAGAGTGGATTGGTCATCGATTTTCAACTTTACATCCCCTCTAAGTTGAGAAGCAATATCATCATACGGAGCAGTTCCCTCTTTAGTTACGTCGATAACATCAATAATCTTAAAAGGTACAGCTTTTGAAAAGAGAATAAGAATGATTGTTATGAGTTTCTCGGTGACGCAAAAGGATGAGAAGTATTACGTATAAAGTACCAGTACTTACGCATATCTCCGTCAAACAACTCGAATGTTTGTCCAACATCTTGCAAGTATGCATCATGAATCTGATCAAGTGATAACTCTTGCTTGATTCGATGCAAATTATGAAGTGGAAACTGGTAGACGCTGGCTGATTTTCCGAGCTTGAGATCTTCTTTGAGATCCTCGAGATTATTCAAGTATCCACAAACAAGATCCATGTAGATGACAACTCTGATTGCGGAAAAGAAAAAATTTTAGTCAAGCGCATTGTAATGCCGTTAAAACGCTCATAAAATAGTATCGATTTATATACTTGATTGTCTCTTGATAACTCGATAGTTTTCTCAGGCATTCGACTTCACTATCAGCCTTAGTTGTTTTCATCTTGGCCAATGTTTCTTGGCTGACAGACATAAATTTAGAGTGGAAAATGTCTGCAAAAGAACAGAAAGTTTAATTGTTGGACTCGATTATATTCGAACGAAGTGGAAACGGGTAAATAAACTTACATTGCATTAGCGGTAGATTGACAAATGTTACTTCCATTTGGACTTTTGTATCAGTGAAGCGATATTGAATATCACTAATTCGTAGTATGCTGACTGGTCTAGCTAGAAGTACATAATAAAGGAAGTCTCCTTTCAACCAGTTAACACGATTCTCTGTGTGTTTGATACAAGAACCGTATGCGGGATCAAAATCTAATGAAAAGAAAAAAGTTATAATTTAAACGGAAGAAGTTATTTGCAATATGATTATATTTCAGCCTAGTAACCTTGATCTGAGGCTTGGCAATATTTTCACAGAAAAGTTTCCATGAGCAATATATTGCATAGTTATGTATTATGCACCAAACTGCAACGATAAGTTTACTGCACAAATTTTAAAATGCAAACATACCATCGCACTCTAAGATGAAGTCAAGGATCAATTTACCATCGCTATTAGAGTATTTAACCTTTTCTGTCAATGAACGGATACTCTCGACGGATCGAACCTCTTGCAAGTTCATGTAATCTCTCGTGATACCATCCTTCCAAGTGTAAACTTTTTTCTATTCAAAGACTAATGTTAATATTTTGACAAATAATGAGATGTGAAATGAATACTTACCGATTGATCATAATCATAGATGGAGATCTTGGTACTGACAAGAGAATAGTCCCAAAATATGTCTTCATGTTGCTGATGATCGCCATTTAAATATTGAATTCGATATAAGCAATGAATAGCATTAAAAAAGCACACAACTGACTTGTGTCTGGACAAATCATACCTTTCTTCATGATCGAGTTTGTGTCTTTCAATGCAAATAACTTACCGATTGAGCAAAATATTGAGTAATGACTGCTTTATCCACCTTCTTTCCGTTGATGTTAACATTAAATTGAACTGATTCCCATACTTCAACAGGGACTCCAGATCGATGTTCCTAAAGTGGATATAATTAAAAACAATTTTGGAGGATTGTTATAGCTATTTGAGTATACAGTTTACAGTTGGTTTAGATTAATACATTTGTTTGACATTAATAAACTATTTAGAATGTACAAAAGATTTTTTAATATTAATGAATTCGCTAGATGATGTTCAACAATTCATTGTTACAATATTACGCTAAAAAACTGAATGCGCTTGTGAATATTGAAATACACTGAAGTTTACTTGTTGAACGGAATGTAGAATGATACCCAGCGAGTTCTTAACTATCTAATGGACATATTTAGAAATCTTTCATCTACAAAGATCTTTGAATGACGAAGAAAGTTGATATGATTATCCAATTTCCATTCTTATCCACGAACAAACATTTATAATAAACAAACTCGAATTAAACGACAAAGTCGTGCTTTTTTCGTCATTTACTTACCAAGTTGAGTTTCCCAAGATATTTAAAGCTACCATCGAGCATGAAAAGACTCGCCAAAGTGAATGAACTATGCATGTTGACTCCAGGCGCATCCGAGTCTACAGTTAGTGCTTTATAAACTCCATCAGATTCAATGAGGAAAGAAACTCCGAATCGATAATCATTGATAGTTTCTGTTGTTACACCGAGCAATGTTGCCTTCAAGCTCAAATAATCGTAAAATTGTGCAGCATGAATCTGATAATAAAAGAAATGAATAAGTGGAATAAATAAATGGAATGAATAAAGAATTGAAATATTTTGCTAGATAAACTAACCTCACTAAATGATTGAGAAACAGTTGAACCTTGAATATGCTCATGCATGGTGTAATGCAAGTGATAAATCCTCAGAGCGGGTAGATCTTTATTTCCTGATAAGTAGTGTGGACATCCGATTCCAGGTAAAGGCTAGTCGAGAATGAAAGTAGTTTTATCATAAATTTGTGTTCTCACTTGAAAAAGCACATTTAAAATGAGAAATTTTTAATTTCTGAATCAGTAACTATTCCATTTAGCAAATATTGTTCTTGTATACATATTTACTTAAATACTGCTTATAAATGCTTACTTGAACTTGATTCTGGAGTTGATCCACAGTGTTTTCGTTCTGAACGTAAATGTCTAAAATGATATTCTCTTTGGATGCAAAGGGACTTGAATCATAACCATTAATTTCAATTCGTTTTGGATTTTTAATTCCAGTCTCGTCATCCAAATTATCTGAGATGAGAGTGAAGGTCTTTTAAATTAAATTAAACTTGATTGTTTCAACTCACGTTTATAATAATAAGTTATTTTCAGTCTTTCGTTAATCTCTGATGTTGCGCTCATCATCATGGTTCCTCTTACGCTTTTGAACCGTGGAAGGTTTGATGTCTATTAACAAACAAACAAAGTCGATTGAAGCATTTCGAAACGACTTTTTCGAAGGAAATTGTTAATGTATTTACCCAAACAAGCAACGAATGATCTATTCGGTATAATATCGAAGGACCCATCAAAAGAATCTGGTTGAGTAAAGGTTTCTTGATTCCTGGTAAAGTTTTATCCCAACTATTCTTGTAAGTGAATAGTAAACAATTTGTACCTTTGACAATGAAATGAACAAATATAATTAATTAAATCAATTCACAAGTGGAATTTCCGATCATTTTTATTTTTTGACTAACAAGCGTAATTGTAAGTATTATATTGTAAGTAATAGTTCAAACGTGCCTTTTATACTGTGCAAGATTTTTTTTGAGCTGGTTTTTCAGCGCAAGGTTTCATCATAACGAACTTTTTGTTAGAATCCGGTTCGAATTTTATGTACATTGACTTTATAAATATACTGAGATGAAAAAACTCTCAACAAAACTTCGACCCAACCGGCACAGTGGATGTAGCTCGAGAAAAAGTAAAAAATTCATTTGAATCAATTCTTGCATTTTGAGAAACGAGTCTCTTTACATAAATCTGCCCACATTATTCCTCTGTTTCCACATTAATTTAAATTATAATACTACTGTAGTAGTTTTGGGGATACTTGAATCTTCTTACCTTGAATAACCAACCGTTCCACACCAGTATGGGAATCAGCATTATAATGTATTGAGTTGGAACCTTCATCACTTGAAATCAAAATTTTACCTTTGATTGTTGGTCCAGAAGATGATATCAACTCTCGTATAAAATACTTTTTAAATCCATTCTAAGAGATGAAATTAGACGCTAGATTGATTAACAGTTAGTTGATTGTTCAACTCACGACATCAGTTAGTGTAGCATTAATCACGTAACTTCCTTCAGGTACTTTCAATGGCAAATCCACCAAACTTTTGATACTGACTAAGTTAATTAAGAAATATTATTAGGCTTAGACGATTGAGTTCTAATTTCAATTCTTACTTGTTGAGATTGTTGTAAACAATGTAAAAACAATTAAAAGTTTGAATTTCATTGATTTTTATTGTACACACAATTTTTACAAGCAAATAAAAACACAAGGAATCGCAATTAGTTGTACATTTGTATAATAAATAAATAATTTGACTTGTTTTGCTTTCCAATGATACCTGATAAACACAATTAAAAACGCCTTAGATCAATTGACTAATTGTAACCATTTGGTTTCTCAATCATGTATACAAAATGGTACACATTAGATAAGCACAAAGTCGAGGGATAAAACCAGTTTCCACGCGATGAATAGCAACATCTTTGCGTTGATGTCGTTGAATCCTGGGTACCATGAAATGTATCTCAGAACAGCGAATAATTCATCAATGTTCGTCCATCTAACAAAGTAACTAAACATGAAAATCCGAAATCATAAAGCTAGGAGATTATAAACAAAAGAATGAGATTCCATCCCATATCTACATGATTGAATACTGATTTCAATAAAAGATAAAGAACCTCGATAAAGTCAATCTGTTCTTTTGAATTATATTTAAAGTTCACCTGGTCATATGCTCACCTGTATTTTATCAGTTTCTATTTCAAAAACCCATTGATTCTACACAATCAAATAACAATTGAGGGGTGTGTGATGTAATTTTCTTAGGTGTTGTTCACCAACTCATACAAATAACTTAGCACTTATAATTAGAATTATCAGTTAAACTATCATTTGAGTTAGGTAATTGATTACTAAATTGAACAAACATTGAAACTGAGAGGGTGCTGGATTTTATTCAGTTCAATGGTGAAGCTAATCAAATTGATAAATGGAAGATCGTTCAGGTAGAGAAACATATTTAACTTTTTCAAACTTTCTTTTCTTTCCAGTCATTTTCAACGCTAAAACTATGTCTGTCAGTGAGGATACATTCGACAATATGATAAAAACTAAGACTAACGATGAAACCGAATGCCATTATTAGAGTCGCAATTTATAGATCTTCGGATATTGTCTGTGGATACTTGTGACATCTTGATGATCTCAAGGAAGATACAATACAAGGACAATCATGCAATATCAATTGTTGCTTGTGTTGTTATTATGTTTCATTAGGTAAGCAAATTGATGACACAGCTTAACCTTTTCCGAGTATATCTGAAATAACAAGGAACTGGAAAGATTGATCACAAACTCCTATCAAGATCTGTTACCTTCAAGAGATTGAACTCAAAATCCACCAGAAGGCTTGTAATTCCCAAAATCTTGCACTTGAATCTGTATATCATTTTGGAAAACAAAAGTAAGAACATACAATAAAACATATTTCTTAGAACATGAGTATTAAAATCACAAATAATAAACTAAGGTAATCTTAAAAGAAAGATACAAACTTTACAGGTATGAAGGATTAAAATTAGGGTTTTAATATTCGTTTAAAATTCAAAGAGTCACTTAGTGACCTATTAAAATTAAAATTAGAATCACATTTATAGTGAAAACAAAGTTACAATAATGGGTTTACATAAACATCGCCCTCTTTAACCTCGGAATAGCGACCAGAATACTCTTCCAAATGATAAAATGGAGCGAACCGCACATTGATTTCAAATGTAATCGTTTATCGAGGGTGTAAATATAATCATTGTTTACATCATAAAAGTCATCATTCATCCTCATATGAACATAAGTGTGTTCTTCGCCTGCCTTGTCATCATCTTGAAATGGATGATAAAAACCCCCATAGTCTAAACCAGCAGAACTTTTGTAGCAGGTAAAACATACCGTAGAAGAAAAATGTACATATGAATGGACAAATCCGCTCACATCTAGCATTAACTCAGTTAGTAAAGAGAGTTCAGCATTTTCTTTGAAATCAACTGCGAAGGCCAAAATTCGTGAAGCATTGACAAATAAGGCTGAACCAAGAAACGGATATGATGGTCACATTAAACACTCCTATTAGAAGCGTGATAATGTCACAGTAAGAATTTTTCTCATCACCTCCGTTTTTGAAGTTATCATAATTGGGATTACAATAAAGACACAAAGCGTCAACCAACTCGTCATAGAGAAGACCATTCAAAACCCATTTTGTAGGAACCTCCTGAAAACATTCAGGGTTAAATTCAATACCAGCATCACCACGATCCATTATAAGATCTGGATCCATGATCATCATTCATCAGTTCTATCACTGTAGAAGCATCGGAAAAGTGGAAAAAATTCGGTACACAAGATCATTTTAAAACATAGGAACCTCTTCCTCATACCTGCAATTACTGTTTCCAGTTAATCTACCGGCCAAATATTGCAGAAGAAACTTCTCATGATCCTTTAGAAGGAATTCAAGGAACGGAAAAGAATGTAGAAGTGGAACCAAAGCAGCTATCAAGTAGCAATGTCCTCGATGATTAAGTAGCCCAATAACAAAACGAGGCTGATAAAAGATATTATAATAAGATTAATATAGAAATGAAATCAGAATGAAACAAGGTAGGACTTACCAACATAAAAGATGGTTCCAGAGAACGTATCTCTTTAGCTAAATTTTAACATCCGAAATCACAAGCTAAAGCGAGATCATAAGCATCTCCAAATGCTATAACATGACGATCTCCAAGGGAAACACTCACACGTACGATAGAATAAACCTGGAGACCCAAACTATAACTCCAAGCAGACAATTTACCAATTGTTGCTTGAGTTGTTTCCATGTTTCATTAGGTAAGCAAATTGATGAAAAACATATTTTTCATGTTAATCTATTATCATCTGAGAATTTATATTTTTACAAATTTCAAGCGAGAATCCTTATTGCAATCAGGGATCAACAATTAAACTTTTCTGTTCAACTTCAACTACAACTTATTAATTGTAAAATTGAAATATAAATAGATTTAATTTGGAAATATTAAAGTTTAACATTCTGTTAGGGAGTGGGTCTGTGACAAGACCACAATCAATGAATTATTGAATGTGTATGAGCATTGATCAATATTTTCAAAGTTGGTCTCTATTGATAGCCAGGGATCAGAGGCTCTTTCGTATGTAAGATAATCCTTTCTAATCCGAAAAATAGGAATTTAAATATAAATTTATTGGAAAAATTGGAAATGCGAGCTCCAAAGGCGATTTTTCTGAAAATCGAATGTATCATCTGAATGAATGTGTTTTAATAACAACCTGTAGCTGTCAGATGGTTTTATGCAAAAAACGCCTTTTGAGCTCGAAATTCCAATTTTTTTAAAAAATGATGTTTGATGTTATCTCGAAAAAGTCTATCGGTTATGAATTGTCACCCTGTATACTAGGTGTTCGGATGAACTATCCCAACATTGGCGCGTTTACTGAATACTAGAGAGATATGATATAAACCATTCGATAGAAAAAATGTAAAGGTTTTGAATGGCGCTACTTTGGAAATTTTTCGCAAACAGGGTGTTTTTCGGAAAATCGTCAAAGTTGAAAAAGTGTCACATTTTGCTGTGCATGATTTTTTCATATTTTTTATCAGGCCATATCAAAGTTCAAAAAATCTTATTTCCGATTAGTACAAGTGTTCAAGTTATATTCCTTCTTTGTTTGTCTACCGAAAAAGTCGTCTATTACACCTTTCCTTATTAATCTCTTATCTTGAGAAAAGCTATATAAAGCTAAGCTATAAGCTATATAGTTTATTTAGTGAAATTCACCATTTTAGACTATTCGGACCATTTTTGGCCATTTGGCAGTTGCCCCTTAGTTTTGTATCAATTGATGCTTGATTTTTTCTTCGTGTTTCACTAGGTAAGCAAACTGATGAATACCACATTTTTCATGTTAATCTATTATCATCCAAGAACTTCGGAAATCTTTATTGCAATCAGCTATCAACTATTGAAGGTGATTACTGAAAAGGTTGATTCGTTGAAGAGAGAAAAATGTTGATTCAAGATTTTCATCAATCCTGACACATTAGATAATTAAAAACAATTCTCAATTGTAAGCTGTTCAGAATCAAAAGCGATTTACATACAACTGGGGATAAAAAGTCATGGTAAAAGTTTTAATGAAAAAGATTTATCTGTTTTTTCTAAAGTCATTTTCTATGGATTTGATTGAATCAATTTTGACTCAATTAACACGTAATTGTAAATGAATAATTGTTTTACAATGGATGAGCAAGAGCTTATGCACATGTGTACCTTTTGTTGGGATTAACGCAAATTAGGTGAGAAACAAAGCCTTTAGCATAAGTGAAAATGTCATCCCAATAAGGTGAATCAAATTCAGAGTCACCTTTAACAATCTGAGCAAAAAGATTGGCATCATTTTCATCATAAAAAGGCGGATAACCACACAGAAGTATGTATGCAATGACCCCAATTGACCAAACATCGACTGCTTTTCCATACGGTTTTCGAGATAATACTTCGGGTGCAAAGTAACCGGAGGTACAACATGCTTTGGCCATTACACCTGAATCTTTCACCTTGGAAAGTCTAAAATAACTGATCATTATCTTTGAATCAGAATCTTGATTGCAGCAAATTAAATTACCAAGTTTCAAGTCTCGGCGAACAACACCGTGACAATGCGTATAATCAACGTCTTCCAAGATTTACTGATGAGTGCACTTGCGTCTTGCGTGTTTCGTTTTTTCAATTATCTTTAGGTTCTCACTAGTCAAGATTCTCAAATGGTTTTTTTGTACTTTTTGATTTTCCCACAGTTCCTCACATCGATTTTTCATTTTTTAACTGTTATTTTGTTTTTACAAGATTTTCCAGTTCCATCAACTTTTTGTTGCAATCCACTTCCTGAACCCTCAACTTCGCTCGAAGGATACGCTGCTGACTTACCGAATTTTCCCAAGCATCACTAATTGTTTAGCTAGGACAGTTTACTTCGGCCATTCCAGGTTTCTCAACATCAGTGTGTTTTTTACTTGTATTTTGAATATTATTATGTATATTTATATGTTTACTTTGTATTTTTCTTTTTTAGAATGGTGCGTAAGCCCTGATGAGTATCACCCGTTCGCATATTTTACGCCATTGGCCGGCCTACCACCTGGGCCTGGCAAGTAGGCATGGTTTCGATTTTATGGAGTCCAGCTAGAATCGAATACATGCAACAGTCAGTTTAGCACTCTATAGTCATGTTTTTCAGTGAGTTCATCAGGCAATTTAAATTGTTGACATCCACCTCTATGAGGTTGGAAACGAGCTATCCATATATCGATTATTTCAATGTCAACAGCTTCTTCTCTCTGTATATTGGTCAATAATTTCCTTCATTTCAGTGAAAGATTCCTCAAGTTCTTGACTCAAATGACTTCCAGGTAATAAGGGTTTCATTGATGATGGTATCTCTACCGTTATCAGTTCAATCATTGTGATTTTTTGAAAGTAAACTTTCAATAAAATGTGAAATTTTAAGGGTCCTATTTCCTTTAAATTCTCTTCCAACAGGTTTTGGATTTTTGCTTTGTGCTAACGTTTCACTATTTCAATATCAATCATGTCATTGAGGGCAAGAGAATAAACACGGAAACACTTTTGAAAAGCTTAATGGATTAAATTGAAGTCCGATTGGAATGAAGGTTGTTATCAGTTCAATCATTGTGATTTTTTGAAAGTAAACTTTCAATAAAATGTGAAATTTTAAGGGTCCTATTTCCTTTAAATTCTCTTCCAACAGGTTTTGGATTTTTGCTTTGTGCTAACGTTTCACTATTTCAATATCGATCATGTCATTGAGGGCAAGAGAATAAACACGGAAACACTTTTGAAAAGCTTAATGAATTAAATTGAAGTCCGATTGGAATGAAGGTTGAGGTGGTGCGAGAAGAGAAATGCTCCCACATAATTTCGATTCGATGCAAATCTTTGTTGTGTTGAAAAGGTTGATTTACATTTGTCACATTTGATTTTCCATTTGATGTTTAAAGGTTTAGGTTTCATCGTTGGAGTATCTTGAATCTATGGCTCATTATCAAAGAAGATTTCAAATCTTCTGCAATTGTTAGTGCATATGAATTGATGAGATATGTACTCACTCAGTGGTTCACACGCTTTATTGCAGCAATGACAATGTAAACAATCCTTTTTCGCTGGTGGTTCATTAAATGATTCAAACATTTGACATGGAGTTTGTTTACATTGACATTTATGTTAAATTAATTCACCTAGATTGATGAAAGACTCTTCGCAACAAGAACACTTCATCTGAAAAAGATTCGCGTTAACTTTTCGTTGGATGAACGGTTGCTTCAGATGCTAGATACAATACTTGTATCAAACACACAGAGAATCGTGTTTACTGGTTGAAAGGAGACTTCCTTTATTATGTCCTTTTAACTATACCAGTCAGTCTTCTGCGAATTAGTGATATTCAAAGAGAGAAAAAATTGTTGATTCAAGATTTCCTTCAATCCTGACACATTAGATAATTAAAGGCAATTCTCAATTGTAAGCTGTTCAGAATCAATTTGTGATTTACATGAAACTGGGGATAAAAAGTCATTGATGGGATTTTCGGATTTCAACATGAACATCACTTTGACAATGCATATAATCAACTGGATCCAAGATTTGACAGATAAGTGCACTTGCGTCTTTTTCAGTGTAACTGCCTTTCTCAACTATCTACTTAAAGTACTTTTACCTTTATTCGTCAGCTTCATCACAAGTTAATTATTTGGCTCATCATCACTCGTTTAGGGTTTCTGTTTCTACAGTTTCTATTCATTTTATTATATTGGGTTATTAAAAAGTCACGCAAGACTTTTTTCTCTTATAACAGCGCCATCTTTTCAAATATCGCTGCTATATTTTTTAATGACCTTTTGTTTGGCACGATTTTTAGAATTTCGAATGCTACCACATAGAAGGCTATGTAAATAAACAGAATGGTCGCCAATAGAGCACTGAAAGGCCCAACAATAAAACCTTTGCACCCAAAAAGTTCTTGTTGGTTATTGTTCTAGGCTATCCTGAGATATTCAAAAAAGGTTTAAAATGGCCTCGCTGACCTTTACGAACTTATAGATTTCTTCGTTTGAAGCCACACTAAGGAAAAAGTTTACAGAAAAAACGTCATGCGATCACTTGAGAAAGAACTCAAAACAGCTTCTCAAAATTACATACAAATGTGCAGAAGAGCACTAAAAATTTTGAAATGCGATGACGCCAAGTAATCGCATCAAAAAGAGTTTTCAAAATTAGTTTTGAGTTTTGATTATTGTTTTTACTACCAAACTACTAAGAGCAATAATCAAAACTCAAAACTATTCGATGAACATAAATATTTCATTTAAGAGAGAATAAAATTGATACGTTAAATTTCATACAGTTTCATAAATGATTCATAATATCAAGATATCAAAGTACCAAAACCTTCTTTACATAGACCTCGTAGACACCTTTCTATTCACTAAAATGAATCGATGCATGTGCAGTAAAAAATGATTGTAGAAACATGCAAAAAGGCCTACATGTTTTTGCAAATACTTTACAATTGATTCTTGAGCCTTAGATGGTAGCGAATCTCTGTTAATCGACTTATGAGAGAGAACGCTTTGGAACTTTTCGGTATCCAAAAAATGCGACAACCATTCCATCACGAGCTCAAGCAGTGCAGCACATGGAATCTAGTTTGATGGCTTGTGACTACCTTTACGTAGCGACTACATTACAAGGTTGACTTGCGCTTTCTACAATACCTCATATACGGAAAGTCAGACGCTGAAAGTTCTTGTTCACAATCAACGATCTCTGAGCATTATGCAAGATTTAGAGAGAATAACATCAGTTTTTTATCATCTCAAAGATCTCATATCTCATGGATGACAAAGATAGGAGGTCCCAGCGTCCTTTTTCAGATAGACGAGGCAAAATTTGGACTTCGAAAATATCGTAGGGGCCACAGTAAGACTGAAATTGGTTGCTTGGCTTAAAAGATCATAAGATGTTTGATTTGAAGCACGCCCTGATAATGGACGAAATTGCGAACCCTTAATTCCTCTAACCAAAAAGCACGTGCCGCTTGCAATTATAATTCACGTGAGACATTGACGTACCAAATAAGTTTTGTGTCGATATTAAATTGGCTTTAACCATTTAAAAAGGAAGGAAATAGGAAATAATTAATAGATTTTTTGAAACTGGGGATAAAAAGTCATTGATGGGTAAAAGTACTAACAAAGTTTATGTTTCATTGTTTGATTTATTTGCTATCAATTTGCTGCAATGTAGTGCTTTTACTGACAAAGTAAAGGATATTATAATAAAATTACGGCTAAAACTTGTAATTTGTTTTGACAGAAGGATAATTGTCACTTATAGCAATCTACATTCTCCTTTGATGCTTAAACAATTTTATTGAATAAATGTTACAAAGCAATAACCATGTTACGGATGGATCGAGGCTTGAGCGTCGTAGCAACTGCAACTTTAGCAAAGCCATTGATTGTCAGATCAACATGATCATTATTTGTGTTGATGAGGATCAGGACCAGTTTATTGTCTGGTGTAATGAATGAAGTGGTGTGAACATTGGCCGGTGCATTTTCAACACTGCAACCAACTCGAGTTGATCCAATGGGCAAAAATTTGGTGAAATGGGCTAATACGTAGTACATTGGGTTCTTGTAATACTCTTGTGCTGTTGCGTTTATAACAATGGTTGCGTCCACCCAGTTCTTAGCCCAATTTGGTCCACCAGCAGTGTTCACTGCTAAAGCCCAGTCAGTCCAACCAGTTGACCAATGCTGAAGACCTTCTAATATATCAATGGCATAATCTTCAGCTCGATTCCAAGTTCCTAAAAATTGTGAAGCTAAACGGGAAAATTTATTACATGAATTAAAATTATGCAAAACATTAAGCCACTAAACATAAAATGCCAGCAATTTGCATTTGGAAAAAGTTTACTTGAGTTTACTAAATCGCAGTTGCTACTTACCAACACCGAATTCACCCGCTTCAGAGGAAAATAAAAAGTAGTTTGGATATTGATCATGAACTTTGGATAAGATTTGGTATGAAGATGGATAGTTTCGAGAGTACCAATGATATGCGATACCGGAAACGTATTTTGCAGCTTCAGCATCATTCAACAAAACTGAAGAGTAACTTTCAATATCATTGGTGTTGTCATCGTTGATCATCAAAGTGAGGTTTTCTTTACCCCAACCAGCAGCAACAAGAGCTGGACCCAGGTCAAGTTTCACAAAGTCTCTTATCTCTTCAGGAGTCATTGCCAAGGCATTCCAGGCATAACCTTGTCTGAAACCTTCGGCAGGCTCATTTTCAGTGGTCAATCCCCAGAATTTGAATCCTTCATTCAGATAGGCATTCAAATATCTATATTGAAGACAATTCGTAAGATATTTTAAAAGTCAAAATTTAGTTTGGTAAACTCAAAAATCACTGGTTATTGGGTTGTTAGTAAGCGAAATATTCTCGAAACGAAAAATTGGTTCGAAGTAAATTTCTACGATTTTCTTAATGGATTGATCTAAGGCTTGACCATAGCAAATATTTTTCGACTTACTTTACATAATATTTGGCCCACAGTTTATAATAAACATCCCCAGGAGTCCAAATCAAGCCACCGGCTCCATTCAATGCGTGATTTACTTTCATCCAGGCTGGTGCTGACCAAGCAGAACCGAAGGCTCGGAATTCCGGATTAATTTGCTGAGCCAACTTCAACATGGGCAACTAAAAATGAAGAAATGAATGAAAAATCCAATGAAAAGAAATGCCATAGAAATCGAATGAGAAGAGTTCTAGAGATGAGTTTACCCTGTATTTAGTGTCTTCCTCTGCGAGAGCAAAATGTGACAGATCAAAGTCAAATTCTGTGTCATCCAGAGAGTAGGCTCGAACTGATGAATCTGAACCTCCGATAGGAACTCGTCCAATGTTGTATTGTAGACCAGTTTTGCTGAAATAGTCATTCATAAACTGTTTGACCAGATCTTCTGAAAGAGTGTTGATGTTAATAACTGCTCCATCCGTAAAGCAACCACCGAAGCCAAGAATTTTTTGCTTCAAATCGCTAGTGTCAACATTAAGGACAAACTGATTGGAACTGTAAGATTTAGCCTTTATACTGTCGACTGGAGTTTCACTTTTCTCAAGACGAGATGACTTTTGGTCAGTGTCGTAAATGTGAACCACATTTGGCTCAATTTTGTCCTCAACATTCAAAGTGTCACATTGCTTGGCATCACAGACACAAACGAAAGTGTCACCTGAATAGGTGCGCTTAACACAGTCTGTCGCTTTAGAGACATGAAGAAGAAGAAAAAGGTTAAACAAAGTTAAAAGGATCATAACTGGAAGCTGCTTGTAATACTTTGCCAATGGAACAAAAAGCTATTCTTTTTACCAAAATCATTTTATATTGAATTGATATCGATAACATGGAGTGAAATGATCGATAACAGTTTTGAAAACAAAGGAAAATTCTTGAGATAATGTTTTTGTTGTGAAAAAAACAATCATGAATGCAGAATGGAATCAACCTTTGATTTTCCCTTTGGTTATTAGGTAATTTTTTGATTACATGAAAACAGTATAAGTTGTATAACCTTGATTCAATTGAATGTTAAAACGTATCAAATTTATCGACCGATAAATGGAACTTGAACTTAATCCAAATGAATCTATCTGATTGATCTGATTGAAAAGACAACAAACAATAACTAGGAAATACTCAATTGTGATTAAACTGTTGGTACTCGCAGGATTGATTCAAATAAATGTCTAGGATTTTGTCTCTAAACAATCTTTTCAATGTCTTTAAACCTTTAAACCTGATTTAAACTCATTCAGATCTTCAATTTTCTTCCGAAACTTTCGAGTTCGAATAATTTTTTCTGAATAAACATTGTACCGAAATCATAACCAATTTTGAATTTGAAAATTAAATCAAAGTCAAAGTTGTAAAATCGAAGTAAACTGGAAATTGACTTTACTAGGAAAGCTATTATTTAGCAAACTTTTGTTTATTGTCCTGAACATTGAATTGTTACTTTGATTATGAATTGAACTGGCAACCACTCGAGGCAATTAAACCATTGGAATCGCGAACTTGAATGTTAACTTACCTGATTGGAGTCACTAATTACTGAAAAATGTCCTTAACATCAAAATGTTAATCAAACTCCAATGTTTTTTTTGTTGTTATTTGAATCATTAAAGCAATCAAAGGCCAACATCATAATCATCTTCGTTAACATCGGTTAATTTCAATATTTTAATATTTCCTTCATCTAATTGGGCCATTAGAAGAGAAAATTGAAAGCGAACGAAAAAAAATTGAATCCACTATTAAACAGGTTATTCCAAGGTAATTTAGTTAATCAACTCACGTTTTCGTAAAAAGTAAATGAAAGTCAAGTTAAGGGTTGAGTATCATTGTTCATCTTAATCAGTTTAATAATTTACTTCAAGTCGATTTCATCAAAAAAAAGTCAAACAATTTGAGTCGTTCAACAATCCAAAATAAAGATAGGAATAAAGAAAAAGAAGAAAAGTGAAGTTAACCCAAAAATGACCAAACTTGACCAAATGGTAAACAACAATTTCCACGGGAAACCCGAGAAAAAGTGTAAATTGTTGTTAGACGAGTTTCGTGAAATGGTTCAATCAAGTCGTAAATTAACTGGCTACAATCTGAGTGATAAACTGTTGTTTCAATTTTTACGATCTCGAGATTTTAACCAACAAGAAGCTCTAACCATTTTAACCAATTATCTGACAATAATAAATGAAAGGCCCGATCTGTTTTCATGGAGAGATCAATTGAAAGAGGTTGCCAATGCAGGAATTTACGTCCATTATCCAATCAACAATACAAATGGAAGTAAAATTGTGATCATCAAACCAGGCCAATGGGATCCAAGTAAGATCACCTTCGAACAATGGTTTCCACAGACTCTGTTTTTCTGTGAAATCAGTTTAATGGATGAATCGGTTCGTGAAAATGGTATCATTGGTATAATTGACATGAGGAACCTTTACTGGGCCCAAATTTATCACATTGGAGTCTCGGGCAGTCGCTTGGCTTCTCACATAACCGACTATTGTTTCCCTTGGACCATTCAAAGTGCTCATTTGGTCTATGAAAATAGACTCACAAGTATGGCCTTTAATTTGTTTAAGCCTTTCCTCTCTTCCAAGTTGAGGCAAAGGATCAACTTTCATGGTTCCAACCTGGAAACGTTGTATAAATTTGTGCCCAAATCACATTTACCGCCTTCACTTGGAGGAACCAATCAAGAGTATTCCGGTGAATTTTACAATAATATTTTGGAGCAAAATAAACAAACGGTTCTTGACCATTGGCAGTCATTGAGACAAAGAAAAGTGTCGAGTTAATCGCGATTCACCACATTCTACGTCTTTTCATTTTTACTTGTTAATATTATGCTTGTTTCCTAATTCCTATCTTATCATTTTTTGCCTTTTTATTGGTTATCATGTGAAAATTATTGAAATAAATGTTGATTCAAATCGATAGATTGAAATTGACTTTGTAATTTAATGTGTTTATCAATTTTAGCTTCTTATCTTTACCGTTCGAGGGAAATGGTTAGATTAAAAATTCAGTTTCAGAATAATTTTCATCAAATCTTAGACTGTCAAGGTTGCTGAGATTCATTAATGAAAATGGCTTGAAGCAATTCGTTGCAAGTGTCATATATTAATAAAAACATTTGACAGAAAAAGATTGAGTTATTCAATGAGAATAGATTGAAAGGTTTGAGAAGAGAAGACAAATCACAGTTTAATGTTAATTCTTTCCAATGAACTGTTGTTAAACTCATTTTATGACTTAATTGCTCTGGTAGTTGCATCATTGATTGTACCTTAAAAGCACTTAAACATTGTAATCATATTTGAATTATTTTGGTGTCAAGGAAAATTGATAATTGTATTTTTAAACAAAGCTTTGAGATAAAACATTATTCAAACAGTTTAACATCTAAATGGATTGAATTACAATCAAAATTCATTGTTGAAAGACAATTTAAAGAAAATTCTGGTACCAAAGTTAATATCATCTCGATATAATTTTCATTTCCGTATAAGATGAGTAATAAATTCTAGAATAGACATTTCAACTCAAGTTGCACTGTTGCTAACCAGTACAATTCGGGTACGATTGAATTAGATCTGATGAGATGAATCGCAAATAGACTGCCAATTTGATCATTTTTAAGGATATTTTTTCAAGATTAACCAGGAAACGATAAAGACTTAACTGGTATAGGTAAATTTAATCTTCATACAAAAGTAAGGCAAATACATTAGCGAAAAATTGAGAGCAACAAGCTATCTTAATTTAAATCTTTAGATAGAATCTTATAACGATTATAACTGGCTCGAAACTGTAAATTTTCAGCAAACAGCGATTAGTTGGACTTTTCAGATGAAGAGCCAGGGGCAGTTACAGCACCTCCGCTGGGATTATCAAGCCATATCTTGAAGTTAAGTAGAGAAGCAAAACTTGTCCATAAAAGATATGGAACCATCAAGTATGCTGCAGTTTTATTGACAGGGTAAAATGTAGCTACACATCCACCGATTACTCCAACAAGCGCAAGGATGTCAACCAATGCTAGATCAAGCCGTTTAGCTCCGAAAAAGAGCGGAGTCCAAATACCATTAAGAAGTAAATTAACAGCATAAACTGTCAGTGGAAGTCTGGCTGCTCCATCAAAGCCACCGCCATCACGGTAAATAAGATAGGATGCAGCACCCATTCCAGTGTAAAGAGCTGTCCAAACAATTGGGAATGCTATGTTTGGAGGTCGCCATGAAGGTTTCTTGAGTTTCTGTGAGAATCGACAATAAACAGTCATTAGATATATGGCCTGCGAAAAGCTTTACATTATTTTAAAAACAAAGAAACAGCTTGTCTTTGCAAATAGACTACAATAACAAAAAACAAAATGGTCTCGTCAACAAGCTAAATGGATTTTTGTTATTTAACAGGCAATTCATTGAATAACAAAGATCGCCAAAGAGATGATTACACTTAAAATGACATAAACATACCTCATACCAAGTGGGGATTGCAGTTCGAGTGAAATTAGAACCAGCCCAACCAATTAAATTGGGCAAGGCAACAGCACTGAAAGAAATAAAAAGATTTCAATTAGAGACAATGAATAAAAATGGCTGAAAATACATATGTAGATATAGAAACTAGTTTTTTATTTTGCACAACACAACAGATACATTTCTCTCACCAAATAATCAATAGCGTAGTTTTAACAGTTTTATTCATAATGAGTGATGAATAGACGACTTAATTATTTAGATTAAATAAAATTAAATATTAATCCAAGACTAATTGGTGAAAAGAACAGTCAGAATCACACATAAGATACCTTTAAAACGTAAATAAAATCATATGTACTCACCCAACTTTGGCTAGAAGAGTCATTGCAAGGCTTATGCTGATTGGAAATAAGTGAATGTGGTAAATATATCTGAATCTAGGTATTTAATAGCACCATCAATTTGATAAACAAGATTGTCGATGAACAAAGTTTATTACGGTGGTAGCTTTTCAATCAGATTAGACGTTAGAGTGAAGATTAGTGTGACAATATGGAAGTTCAATGCTGAAATTGATTAGCAACGCTCTCTGGTTGAATCATCAACAAAGAAGTTTGGTGCACAAGTTTATTTATTCAAATTAATCTCTGTTTAGAATTGGGTAAAATTCGCTCAAAGAATTTAGTTTATGTTAGGTCGCTGAGGTTATAGTAAATATAATTAAACTCAATTTACTACTGAATTAAACATAAACAAGAACAAGGTCTGGTTACCAGATTGATGTTTACTTTTTTGATCAGCTGTTAACTTTTGTCTGTGTAGCAATTATTGCCCCTCATTTTTTTAATTGTCTTTTAATGTGATTTGAGTAATGTGATTTTTTTAAATGTTAAATAAATCGTTAAATAATTGTTTCTACTGAACCACAGATTTGCTTCCATGAAGATTAATGGAATCTCGTAAGTTTATAGTGAAATATTAGTCTAAAAGTGTATTGTAAAGATGTGGTACTGTTGTTTGACCCTTTCTATGGCTATCAGTAACTATTAATACTGCAATGAAAATCAGTGTATCATGTTTCATTTTGGAATGAAATTCGACATCAATTATCTTCATTACAAGTACATTGTAAGTTTATTTTCGGTGGAGATCTGGTTGAAGTAATTAAATGTTTATAACGTTAAGAGTCAAAATTCTCATTTTGTTTTTCCTTTTATTTTTTATTCAGGTGATAATATACATATGGAATTCTTAGATTTCTTGGAAAAAGGTGAATGAATGAATGGCAAGAAGAAAGTCATAAACTGCTCTAGCTGTAAGTTCAACAATATCCAGAGTTATAGTACAATTTTCAGCCATATGCCATCAATATCTCATCAACTTGTCGATACATTTCAAGATTATCAGCTTCAGGTCCGCCAATAACTCGGAGCCTCATGACTCGTCTGAAGTTCTCTACCAGATGAACCATCTTGGAAAATGTTTTGAAAAATTGATCAGCCAAATCGCTTAAATCCTTGGAGGCCAAGTAATGGATAACTTCACCTATTCAAAAAGGAAAAACAAAACCAATGAATTATCATCTGTGAAAATCTCCATGTGATGTTCAAATATTACGAAAGATTAATAGATGGTGAGGATAACGAAATACCTTCAAATGACAAGTTCAAGGATGTAACGATTTACTGTCTGTTTCTAATTCTCAGAGTTTGTATTGCAGAAATAATAAGCTTGGTTACCTTGATCGGATGTCAAATATCGTAAGAGTGAAGAAAGATTAAATACCAGTTGGCTATGGAAATTAACCCAAAGATTAATGACGGAAAGATGAACCTTGGATTTGATATTCTTACTACCTAAAGAATCAACAAGAATAGAACAAGGACAATATTCTGACTCGAAAGGTCCAATTTCTATCCCTAGTCTTTCTTACCCAAAGCGTATAATTTTCTGCGATTATCGACGTCACACAAAATAAGCTTGATAATCCAATATGATGATATAAAATAACTACGAAACAGTATGTTAATTATTATATTTTTCATAGCTGCCAGAAAATTTCATAGGTCCTTGGCTTGAGTAAACCTTTGTTTTCATAACCAAAATTTTTCTTCTCTCTTTCTCCATAGATCTTGGCAGAGTCTTAACATCATTACTTGGGAAATAATTTAATCTTATTATCAATTTGTTATCAAATCTATCAATGATGATCTTGACTTTTGACTAATTGTTTTGGCTAAAGTAACACCAAGGACGAATTCGAGTAATCTTGACATCTAAACTTTTACTGCTATACTCACGTTGCATTACAATGTATCAACCTAGGAATAGCGATTTTCCTTGGTACAACATTGGTAGCATTATTCATCACTTTCACGAAATGATATCGAATCAAATTAGATCTAGAAGAATAAGTCAGATATACCCAATAGTCGGATCACAGGTAATCAGTTTACTCTGCATTTTACTCGCATTTTTCTAATGAGCTCTCATTTCTTGTTGATCATGCTTATATAAAAATATTAATAACAAATTTTTTACCTTTAGGAACTTGGACATTCCCTAAACTATTTTGAGCAGCTTTGATAACTTCTTTCCGGGTACCTTCATTGCTCCAGAAATACTTGACGATTTGGTAGTGGCAATCAAGTCTTCCTCTTACCTCGACCATTGCTGTTTTAATCAGTCCATACACATGAGAGGAAACTTTGTCGAGACAAGCAAAAAATCTTTCGATTTCTTGAAGATTGGACTCAACTTCAATGATAATTCTGTCCATGGCGAGAAGTACTTTTGAAAAGGTTTCAGTTGTAATCCAAGATGATTTACTACTAAAATCACAATAATAAACGTATCTTTAGTCGAAATTGGTTTCACGTTAAACTATGGCAAATAATATGTCTAGTGATCAAGAGAAGAATAACCATGCAATTAACTTGTTAACACTTTGATTATGAGTTAAGCCAGGAGCAAGAGAGGAAGCGCACATAAAACATCAAGATGCTTATTTGTTGACTGCTGAACAAAACAGAGAAAAAAGTTGCTTAGAAGTAAAATTTATTTATAAAACTGCTAACTTCCAAGTATTACGAAAATTAAGACTCTCTTGTATTTGAAACATCTTTTATTTTTAGGAACCAGAAATGAGTGAAAAACAGAGAGAAGAAACAGAAGATAGCGATGATGAAAAGTGATTCATTGAAAGAAAGAATTGAAATAAAAGGATTAACCTGATTTGAATGTAATTTTTTCCAGTTTAGCTTAGTCATCACGCTTATTGTCACTCAAACTTTTTTTTTGTAAATTAACCGGAAATGTCTTGAACCTCGCAATTTGTCTAATACATTCGTACAAGCTTGTTGACTGAGAAACGAAATACTCAGCAACTTTCAAGTATTTACATCAGACGAAGTTGAATGAATTAATTTGACTGATTTTCGAAGAGGTTAAGAAACCGAAAAATCCTTCAGTTTAGCTGTCATTGTGATCCATAGTATTAAAATATCAATGTCTAATATTGTTCAAAAGCACGATTATAAGGGGTCCAGTCTTCTCGTACTGTCCAATCCTGCTTAAAATTCAACATCAATTTCATGATTAGTATCTTCGTTTTCAAAGATATTCATGATACTGGCAAAAATCACTTTGAGCAAAGTTTATCCTATTGAGTTGCTATCGAATAGCCTCCATAAAATATTGAACACAATAAACGAAATGTGCCAATTTCCCATAAAATTTGCGAATCCGCTCTCAAATGAACTAATACAAGCATTAAAAGCGACAAACAACAAAGGTTGATCCAACTGGAGATATTTAAATAATCACTGTTTGATTTACATTCTTCTTGTTGAAAAATTTATTGATATCTTTAGTCATGAGAATGACAAATGAGAATTACTGTTCATAGGTAAAGTAATGGGTTGATTGATTGGTCGTAAGTGTTGATTTGCTGAAATATTTCAGTAATCGGGAATCACTAGAATAATGGAATTACAGGTCGTTATGTCACTGATGGTTATTGAACTTAAAGTACACATCACCAATGTTAAGCTAAGTTAGCCATTCCTATTTCACTAGCAGCTTCATCGGGCTTAGCTATTGAATTTGGTTTGGGCAAAGATGCCTTTTGATTTTCTGGATTAGCGACAATAGAGGATGGATCATCTTTTACTTTAATAACTTCAGCAGAATTAATACCATCAGCTTTGTTAGCAGCTTCACCAGGAGCATTTGGACTATCAATATCACCAACTCCAGGATCTAATGGCACTGGATCAGTTTTCACTTCAACGGCGTCTTTATCTTCTGGTTTTTCAGGAGGTACTTTGCCATTCAATTGATTGATTTTGCTATTCAATTGTTCGATTTTTGTAGCCTTTTCATTAGCTTCTTTTTCCATATTATCTAATTGACTTTTTAATCTGATATTCTCAGCATGAATATTATCTATAGATTTTTGCAGCTGACCAGCCTTTTCATTCAAACCTTTGTTCTCCGCTTCAAGTCTATTTCTTTCAGATGCAAGATTGTTTTCAGTCAATTGCTAAAATCAAAGGAAAGGATAACAATTAAAATGATGTGATAATATAAATGGTTGAAATATGTAAAACATGAAAGTAGTATAAAGACATTACCTGAGAATTCTTAAGCTTCTGTAGATCACTTTGTTTAATCTTTACTTCATTAGATTTTTTGATCAATTCTTTTTTCAGCTGATCAACTTTTTTCTGTAACAATTCATTCTCTTTATTTCTTTCTTGGAAAGCAATTCTACTTCGCTCTTCACTTTTAATTAAATTCTCAAGCTGAGCTTGAAGAGTTGTATACTGTGTTGATAAACTGTAGTAGCTAACACCAAGAAGTCCTAGAGCAATGAAGAGTCCAGCAACAATAAATGGAGGATTTCGACCAGCAAACTGTGGTCTCAATTGTCCACGAGCTACACCACTAGACGAACCCATCGTAATTAAAATAATTAAAAACAATTAATCACTATTATAAAAACATTGAAAACACAAAGATAAAAAATAATAAACAAAGAAATACAGGTGAAGATGCCAAAACAAGGAAAACCAAACTGGAAAGATGAGTTTGGGAGTGAGTAAGCCAGTCATTTAAATGATCCGCCAATGAGGAAATTTTACCTCATCCTTAAATCTATTGAACTCAGCTTGCTTCTGATTTCTCAGTAAATTGTGCATTAATGGCGTTTTCTTGTTATTTTACCACCACTGTTGATACTTCTGATGTAACTGCATTATTCTTTAAATAAACAAATTAACAGAACGAGAATCCAAATGGTTAAACGTTAAGAGTTTTATTGACTTTAGAGATGAACAAAAGATTATATACCAAATCTAATGAGTTAACTTATTCATGATTCACTCACAAGCTATTATTTATTCAAACGAATTAGAATCGTGAATATCGTCGATGTCTAATCAAGAATAATTAAAACTAGGCCTCAGAATAGATGGCAAATCTGATGATTTATTTGCAACTATTTGATGATGATGATTCACTATTTCTTTGTGTGTTTATTGGGAATGTAAAAGGCATTGCAAGACACTTCAAGGTTTTGATAAAATAATGATTCCATGATTGTTGACAATCAAATCACTTTCGATGCCAATGACCTCTCGGGACTACAATTGCTCTGTTAAGGTTTGATCAGCGGTAATTGACTAACTATTGTAAGCATAAACTTAACTCTGTAGATAAAGATTACAACATAAAATGTGCACTGAAGTTTAGAGATTATGAACAAAGTTGAATGAATTTAAATTGCGAATAAAAAAGTTAATTTGCATATTCGCAGTTTTTTATTAAATTGATAGTGATAGTTAATCATTAATTTTAAAAATAATTTCAAGTACAGTCAATGAAAAATTATTTCTACAATAAAGTTTACCGGATAAATGATTCATTTCTTTTTAGGTGCAGTTAACGTGACAAAGGGAACTCTTCTGGGAGCTTTAGGTGCTTGAAATGAGCTTATTACAGGAACAGGCTTATTAGGTTCTTCTTCAACTACCTGCATAGGCTCGACTGGATCCTCATGACTTAAAGAGCTAGCTTCCTCCTCTGTTGCTAACCTATCAAAGCTTGCGGTTAATTTTTGTGCAGCTCCAAGTTTAGGTCGTTCATGTACATCTTGATGGCTAGAAACAGGGGACTTGCCTACATTTTCATTACTAGTCTCAGTTTCAACAGACCCACTAGAACAATGAAATTTCTTCATAGGTGATTCTTCAGTTGAAAGATCGACTATTTCTTTTCTCTTGATACTACCTAAAGTTTGTAAAGGACTTCTTAAATTGGGTGATTTAATTTCTGTTTTATCAAGCTTTCTGAAGAAGTTAGTAATTTTAGTTACTTCTGGTGTTTTCTTGGGCTTGGATGCAGAATCAGGTGCAGATTGGTCAGTATCTTGTGATTCTTTGGATGGACTTGCAGCACAGCTATTCTGAGGAGTAGGTTCATATTTGTAGTAATCACCATTGTATGGTATTCCTAATTCTAACTCGTCGAAAATAATAAATGTACAGTAACCATCGGTTGACGAGACTATTAGAAGACGACCATCATCAGACCAGGAAATATCTGTCAATCTTGTGTAATGGATATTTGAGATAATGGCAAATGGTGAAGGTTGTTGCGTATCAAAAAGAAGCACCGATTCTTGAGTGGCAACTGCATAAATAATTCTATAGGGAAAACTGGAAGAAAAATGACCATGTGTTATACGAAAAATCTTCCAAATTGTTGCCAAAAGTTAGTGTGAAAACTACTTACGGGAAAGGATTATCTAATTCTTTTCTAAGCTCAAACCGTTGAGGGCAGCATCGAACTGCTGTATTATAAAGATTTCCAGTTGAATTCCAGCAGCGAGGCCTGTAAATAAATAAATTATATTTAGTAAAATTGCAATAGAGGCGTCCAATTCGCAATGAAATCACTCACTTGTTTATACAATCTCTTTGGAATATATGCACTGCATTAGTAAATTTGTAGTTTTCTCCATCAGCATCCAACTCGACGACTCCGGATGGTGCGAGCAGCAATTCTCCACCAGGACTAAAGCAAATTCGTCTAGAATATGTAGGAAGTGTATCATCGTAAAAGAGCCTTGTCTTTTTGAATATATCTTCATCGATTTTAACAGCAAATTTGTTGATTTTGTACGTAAGCTTTTTAGAAGCTGTGTTGTAAACTCTAAGGCTTCGATCTGTTGCAAGAGTGACTATATAATTATCGAATGGATCCCAAGCCACACCTTGAACATATCCTTTATGACCTGATAAATAGTTCAGTCTCACTCCCTTATTTACATCCCAAACAATGGCATCGTTGTCAACTGAGCCTGACAATAGAAATTGGCCATTTGGCGACCAGCAAAGATCGACAACATCCTCATTGTGCCCTCTAAGCGTTTTCCACAGACACCAATCTTCTTCATTAATATTTCCCTCAGTTTCATCAAAACAGTTTCCTGAATTCAGCTTTTTATCGCCTCCATTAGTGTTATTGTCAGACATCATAGACTCTCCAGATTTATCTTGAAGCTTCCAAACAAATATATTACCCTCATCATCACCTGAAGCAAAAACATTGATATTGGGAGAAAATTTTACAACATTAATAGCTTTCTGGTGTCTATTTAAATCCGCCAACGGTTCAATAGTAACTTGTTTTTTAATAGTAGATCCACTAGCGAAACTGCCATTACTGCTACACGGAACACTGTTGACGTCTCGTTGAGCCAGAGTAACTTTCCAAACAACCAAATGTCTGTCTGACCCAGAAGTAATGGCTTTATACAAATTGTTGTCAATCTTTTTAATGTCCAACGAAAGAACCGGTTCTTGATTATGCCAAGCGATTTCAGGGCAGTAAATCCTCATGGTTAAAATTAATGTGAAAGTAGAGATATAATTTGATGAATAAAAATTAACAAACAAAAAGGACCAACTTATGTAAAGGGAAACAAGGATAATGCGAGTCACTCGGAATATAAAGAGGCAAACGTAAAAAATAAAATTATTTAAAGCGCGACGTTTAATCCATCTATAATCACAAAAACAATGACTATTAAAGGTGATGACAATCAAGTTAGAATGTGTAATAAAAATAAGTATTAAAAACAAACAATTAAAAGTTACAGTAATCTATTTAAACACCAATTTAAAGTTTACCGAAAAGTAAACTCAATATCTAGCAGTATCTTTATCTATCTTGGCGGCTCGACAACACAAGGCACAAAAAATTTTCGCGCCACTCATCCAGGGATCATCGATATATTACGAAAAGAAAGGGAGAACAAACCTGGAAAGAGAGAGAAAGAGAAAATCATTTTCTATTTTCTCTTTAGACTGTTTCTTACTTTGTTTCTATTTACACCTGAATTGGTTTACAATTGTTAGTTTATCATCAAAATTTACTAATAAACATTTTTGTTTTGTTATTGATAAATGACATTAATGATAATGAATCCAACTACGTCCAAATGATCAAGTTAATTGAATTAATTTCTCTGTGATCCAAAAATCTTTCGTTTATTTGTGTTGAATTATATTTTTGTTGTCTAAGCTTGTTTTTTCCCTTTCTTTCCCTCCTTCCTCTCTTTTTTTCTGTCTTTCATTCTCCCTGTCTTTTTCTCTTTTTTGACTTGCTTTCGCACATTTAATAATAATTTGTGTAAAAAAAACAACCTAGACTAGTTTTTTCATTTAAAGTAACTCAGTGAATTTATTGTTAATTTTTTTGTGTTTATACTTATGATAATGAACTATCCCCGAGGTCTTAATGTTGGTTTACAATTGAAGGGTTATCCTGGAATTAATCACATTGAGATGTCTTCTCCTATGTCAACTGCTGCAGCTTCGTGCTCAACAACAACAACATCGATAACCACATCCATGCCATCAACCATTGTCCCATTGATGGTAAATCACCATTCCAATCAACCATCTACAACTTTACAATATCCTGGTCATCATCTTGCTGGAGCTCCTTTAGCAGGAATTACCAGCCACCATCTTCACCACCATCATCATCAACAGCAACCGCATCACCAATCACATCAACATCAGCAACCACAAGCCCATCATCATCAACAACACTTCGGTACAACAATACCGAATCGAATTTTTGTTGGAGGATTGTCTTCCGATGTATGTTTTAAAAAATTTATTTACATTTAATGTTAATCTAGAACAATGTCCTTTCTATTGTTTATCTTTCTCATTTTACATTGTTTCTTTTACAGACCACTGAAGCCGAGCTTCAGGAGCTGTTCTCAGCCTATGGCAATGTAACCGCAGTCAAAATAATAAATGATAAATCTGGAGTGCCTAAAGGGTAATTTTAATTTTTCAATCTATTATTTTCAATTATCCAATCTTATTTTTATTGTTAAATTTAGTCAATCAATTTCAATGAGCTTTAAGAAATAATTTGTATTTTTAATTGTTGTTAGCTTATTTTATTCATACGGTTTATAGTTTTACTGCCTAATTTAACCCAATTTAGTCGTGAAAATTTATAATTTGTTCCGTCAATTCTTTCAATTAATTGTTTAATTTACTTTTCAATGGGAAGCTTTGTGACCTATTTTCATTTATACTTTAAGTTCTGCCCGAGATCTAGATCATTTGAATATCCTTTTTATCCTTTGTCTTGACTCCACCTTGACTTCTTGTATCTAAACCTTTTGAATTGGTTTTAATCATAATTTTAATTTTATTTCTTCAGTGTCTATCGTTATGGTTTTATAACATTTCAAACAGAAGAAGAAGCACGCAGAGCGCTCAAAGAATGTGATAACCTCCATCTTAAAGGCAAAAAGTTGAATGTTGCCATTGCAATAAAAAAACAACAAATTCGTTTAGGTGAGTTTATTTCTTTTGGTTGAAAAAAAGCAGTTTTAAATCCTTACTTTTCCTTATGATTTAAGATGGACTTTCATTGGTTGCCAATGGTCCCCTTATGTACCCAGCAGTGGACGCATTTCAATTGGCAGGCATACCAAATGAAGGGGGTCACCCTTATAGTCTAGGATGGGAAGCAGCAGCTATTCATGGGACACCATCTCCAGCCAATTCTCTATATAATTACATCTATCCCTATACTATTTATTCAGCTCCTTCTTTACCATTTCTCCAACATCCCTGTAGCACTTATCCGTCTGCTGGCCCGCCGCATTTCCCTCCGTTAACCACTCATGTTGGTCCACCGCCTCATTCAGTTTCTGGTCCTACACCAGTTCCTGGTCATCATGGGTCATCTTCAGCCGCGGCTGCTGCAGCAGCAGCAGGTTTGGGTCCGCCAACATCATACCACCCTTCATCGACAACTACACAATACTATGCCGCGGCTGCTGCTGCCGCACTCGCTGCTGCCAATAATGGGTCTCTTCCTTTACTACCTATAGCTAGTGCTAACTCAGTTAATGCATTAGGTAATCAATTAAGGTGGGTCCCTCCACATCCTCAAGCACTCAATGGAGTTATTCCTCTGGTCAACGATCCAACTTTAGGTGGATTAAACAAATGACGAATCAAGGAAGGAAGACTTACATGACAAAAGAATCTGACTGCACAAATTAAGAAATTAAAAAAAAATTCCAATTGAATTTATTGCCCATCTTTTGATGGAATGCAACCAAAAAGAAGAACCCAATTGCTATGCTGATCACTCTTCCTCGTCATCCTTTAGTGCATAGTATTGGACTCAATGCTCTCTTGAGTATTTGTTTGGACACAAGGGAGGAAAAGAATATGGTCGCTTTCTCTCACACTCTCACACTCTGTTTCTCATTTTCTTCTCCCCCTTTCCTTAAGAAACCTTCTCAGTCACCATTCAATTCTCAAGTCACTCTAAGCAACTTAAACAAAAAAGCAAGAAACAAATGAATTTCCATTGAATCTAAGTCTCCCTGTAATCAAAAGAAAAGAAGAAAATTGTACACTCGTCTCGCTGAATGTGATTAATGCGACTACGGTGCTATTCTGTGAATGATTAATTTAACCTAAACCAAAAAAATACAAAAGTCCTAATGCGAGACTAAAATTGACTAGAAAATAATAATTTACTTTGTCATCATTTGAACATACCACTTAAATAATACAAAAATTTCAAGCCATTGATTCGATAATTTTTTCGATTAGTTTTTCCCCCAAAAAACAAAACAATTGGCTCAACGAAAAGTGCGAAATAATCACTTAGATGATTAACATTTTACTAAAATAATTGCGAATCCTGAATCTATTGAAACATTTGGCAACAATCTTTCAATAATTAGATTAAAATAAAAGGAGTTTAATAATAATTGAAGCATTTATTGAAACAAAACGACTTTATTTAAACATAAACATAATAAGTGTATAAGCTTTAAATCGCTTGATTTTAATTGAAACAACTGGCATAACTGAGGTTCCATCCAAAGGCTCGGTTAAAAAGGATACAAAAGCGATTCGAGACGTTGATACATCAACGAAAACTGAGAATGCATAATTAATGATTAAATGGTGCGCATGATTTAAGGATGAAACTGAATCTTCTCAGAAACGACACAAAATCCATTTTGTATTTACTTGAACCAATCAGTTTTGTTGCTTTAAAAACAATAGTCGCAATAATTTAACCCACAAATCATTTATATTTCCAACTGATTAGTCTTTCATAAAGCAAAACCAAATTTTGATTTAATTTCAGTTTCATCAAACCAGTTGTCAATCCTGTTCAGAGTTTGATGCAAATCATTAAATGATCACACAAACCATAACAAAGGTAAACATTTAAACATTTAACTGGAAACCAATTTACATTGATCACAGCAATTTAATTAATCAGCCGTATTCTATTGACCATTTAATTGTTAATTGACAGTGATAATGAAAAGAAGCCACCAAACTGCGATTGTTCCCGGTGATGTCTTTTATCAAATCATGTTCATCACTCTCATCATAACCTGTCTTCAATTAACTTCACATTTATCACTTTCCCAACCAATTGCCATTGAAATTAATACCAATAATCAAAGCGAAACTGAATCAGTTGCTCTAGCTGCCAATGAAACAGCTAATTCAACAACACCAGTTCAATCAAATGAATTGTCATCCACATCAACACCAATACCAACATCAACCTCAACTTTACCGCCGCCATTACCAACACCTTTGCCATCAAAAAGTAAGTTTATAAACCTTTAAATGCATTCAAATGATCAAACACTGATTACTTTGCAAATTTGTCCTAAAAACTGACAAATTTAACTCTTAAAATGCTCCTTAAATTACTTAATTATCTCAACTAATCACCAGATGATGCATAATGTTGAATCAACATGCAACCAGACAGTTAAATGCCTCTTAAAAATCAAAATCTTCATCTAGATATTTCTATTGGAATGAAAGAGTAACCAGAATTTATTTGGTATTTATTATTATTTATTAATGTAAGGTATTTTGAGCTACAATTATAATCAATTGAAGACTCATTGGTCATGTTTTTGCAGGCAAATCTGGATCTTTAATCAAACATCAATTCTTTCATTAAAATTGTGTGAAACAATTTGCTTTCCATTGACAATCATCAATAGATGGTTAAGCATGCCCAGGATAAAAAGATGAGCCTGAAATTTTCTTAACTTCATTTCTGTGTTGATTATTGAATGGTTGACCTTGCTTCTCTTTAGCCCAAGCAAGATCAATAATTTTGGGATTTTCTTTTCCCAGACAATTCGTTCCAAGGTTAATCTTGCATGTTTCATTCAGCCAAGTCTAAACATTGTTAGATTTCATGTCAATTCTGTCAACAGAATTCATCATTAATGCATTACATTTGTGCATTTATTTACATAACACTGACATTAATATTGCCAAATAGCAGAACATGTCTGTCAGAATTATCAGATTTCATTGAAACTACTCTTTGACTCAAGAAATCTCGAAGGCTCAATATTTACTTTCGATATTATTTTTAATGAATAAATCGATAAACACATTTTCACTTTCAATCAAACTAGCTCTTGATTGCTATCGAATTATTAAATTCAATTTATCATAAGTTATGATTCATAACTGCAAATTACTTTTATGACTTGTAATCAATCCATTAAATGTAAAAAATCTGGTTCAAACGCATAAAATGATAATTTTATTGATTAATCTGAATGCCTTTCAGTTTCCAAAGGGAATCAAAAGGCTTTTCAAGGTTTTGATGGTAATTTAAATATTTAATTGAGTGTCAATATCCGAACAAAAATCTGAAACTCTGATTAGCTTCAGCACTTTAAGTGTAAAAATTAATGAATATTGATATTTTAATTGAGTTTGAGAGATGAAAACTGTTTTACAAAAAGCCATCTGCTAATTGAAATATTGATTTTGTTTTAATCTTATAAATTGGGTTTATTAAAATATTTTTGAAGTCGAGTTTGATTTCATCTTTTAAAATTTGAATCCATGATTAAGCAAGAAAATTTAAATTTAAATTTGACTATGGAATCTTGATTCTCGACCAAATTCAGTGATTTTAGGGAAAATTCGTACATTGACATTTTGAAAGACTGTTATTTGGCTTTTATTATTATACAATGATGTTCAAAGCAATTGATATTTTTTTCTCAATTTTTACTTATATCACATACAATATCAGTTAATAAATAAGATGCTTCAAGCATTTTGTGAACAATCGAATCAAGGAAAACAAACATTTTACAATTGGTTATTTTACACTTTGATAGCAAAGGAAAAAACATTAAAAATTATGTTGAAAAGTCGAGAAAAAAATAGCCAGTCATTTAGCTTGTTAATTATTATAAACTAAATTAGACAAAGAACATTTCTTGGTTTCTTGTTTTAAATTGAAAGGTTGACTTTTAACTTGATTCTTGAAAACCAGAAGATATACATTGCACACAGAAGCAGTAAAAATTGTCATTAAACCAATCGCACGAATTGAAAATCTTTGATTTTTATTCTGAGTGAATGGAGACTGTAACAGGTAATAGTAAAATCCAAATTAAAACGGCTCAAGTGAGCTCTTGTGCCATCAAATAAATTATCGAAGAGAGATCAGATTTTCTGGTATTGATTGGAAATATTCTGAATTAAATTGATTCATCAAGGCTTTCCAAGGTATTGACAATCATTTAGCAGGTTAACTCTTTTGCTTTGAATTTGCAATTATTGTCTTATAAAGACAGGTGAGAGTTGATTGTAAGTGGAATGAACTCACCACGAGTTGCTAAGAATTTTAAACAGAAATTGTTGTTGTAATACTGTTCATGTACAGTTTTTGTTTCCATGGGTAGCAACATGATGTCAATAAGTTTTTGATGCTTTCATTGATTCACGGTAGGCTGAGTTGCATTGCTATTACAGTAAAACATTTCATGGCCATGAGAACATGAGACTCCGTTGTAAACAGATTGAATGGCAAAAAAGGTTCCACAACCAGCAACTAGCACTCCAAAAGCCACAACTGCCAGATGAGTCAGTTTATGGTTGCTCAGTAATGGTTCAGGATCCAGCTTAATGAAACACAAAGCAGGGAAAATGAAAGCCAAAGGTACTGCAGCAATGATTCCCTAAATATTGAAAAAAGAACAGAAAAATTGTCAAAATTTGCTGTTAAAATAACCATGTAATAATGAGATATTAGATGAGTTTAGATGAAACAACATATGTTTTTCATGTCTAACGTTTGACAGCCATTGTTAGATGTAATTTAAGTGTCAAATCAGTCAGCAATTTTGTCAGGTTATTTGTTATTAGTACATTTAAGTTTGTATTAACTGGGAGAAAAAATCTCGTCAGTTTATGTTTTCACTCACATTTAATTCAAGTACGATTCCTAAACAGTCAGTGAGGGTGGAAAGGATAAAAGCGGAAGCTACTATTGCTATGGTTATTAAAGTATGATGAGATGTAGTTGCTGGCGGTTTTCCTCCCCAGAATGCATTTTCCAGAACCTTCAGAAAAAATGAAAAAAAGACAAGTTTTATTATAATTGAGTATAGTTTAGAAACTTGCAGTTCTTCAGACTTATGTGTTTGCTCCGTGACCTGAAACTAAACAAATTCCCATGAAAGTAAAGTAAAATATACCAAAAAATAAAGGTTGTCAACCATTGATAATAACAAAAGATGGTAATCTTTTTTTAGTCATTTAAGTTTAGGTTGAAAATGGAGAGAAAACGATAACTGAAGAAGACCATGAAAATAAAAGAAAAGATTCAACTGTTTACCTCTCTCACTACAAAACATTCAAATGGATAGGTAAGCATGATGGTTACTGTGAAAGCAAGTCTTGCTACTTGTGCAAAATTATCTGATGTACAGTAATTCTCGAATAGATCCCCTTGTGAGTAAGATGTGAATGTAAGGTAGCCACAGATTCCAACAACCATAACAATAAAAAACGAAACTGCAATGCTGATATGAGTTATTTTATTCCACTTATGCTGACTTGTATTGGCCATTGAATCGTATAATAAAAATGAATTATGATGACACATGTAAGCTAATTGTGGAAAGTAAAAAGAAATTGTTAATACAATGATAATGCAACTGAAATGGTGAGATCTATTTACCGAAAGCAATGATTCCTATGGCATTTGTAATTCCAGTGTTTGCAAAAGTGAAAGCATTTTCTGTTTGAGGACTGAAAAGATTCGGAAAAAAGGATTAAACCAATTTTCCAGAATTGATAAGATAGGCAAACGAATGAATGATTCAACGTACATTTCAGGTCCTAATGTGAATAGTCGATAAGCAATAAAAGCCATTATGAAGCTAACGAAGCCGATGGAAGTAAGCGATATCTATGAGTGATAAAAGTATACATTTATCAGAGTCTATTAAAAATCTGAATAATTTCAATTTTACCTTATTCAGCTTTGCAACATTACGGTAAAGTGACAGGGGCAGCATAATCAGAACTGCACATATGAATACAACTGTATTTCTGTTGCCAAAAGGATTATTAGCCGCTACTGTAATGGAAGAAAATATTTAGTTCGCAATTTCAAGTTGAAACCATTGATGCGTTTGACTTACAGTCGAAAAACCTTCGGAAAACTTTGGTCATGGTGTCACCAATAATAACGTTGTAACTTATCATGGCTAAAGAGGGAAAAGCTTCGAAATTAATAAATGTATTTGAAAGAAAAAATTGCAATATTTTCCAACAATTTACCGATAAATGGATAAATGAATTGAAGAAAGGTCAATATGTAGAAACCAGGTTTGCCAAAAGCACGTTCCATAACATCCTTCATAGAGACAAAAACACAGGAAGAGGAAGATAGTAGGAACCAAGGAAATGGAAACATGAAATGAGCAAAAACATTGATATGATTTAACAATGAATTTATGAGAATTATCAGTTTACTAAGACAACTTACCTGGTATGTTGACACACCGGCAAGGTTACCAGCCTTGATTAGGGTGCACAATGAAAAATCAGTGATAAGAGCGATGAAAAACAGAAGAAATATTCCCGTGAAAAAACCAGCTTTATGAATGGCATAAGGAATCCCTGAAAAGAAAAAGTTAATTTGTATCAAAATTTATGAAAAAATCAAATAAAGGATAAATGATTGCATGCTATGGGTTCATATCAATTGATGAGAGTTGAATATTGATTATTGAACCAAAGATCGTGACAGTAGTTATTAATTGAAACAGGAACAATTTCGTGAGGTGATTCAACAACAATGTTGACAAAGAACCGTTTGCAACAGTAAAAAGGATGAACTCGATAAATAAGATTATAATTGAATTAACACTTACCTATTACACCGGATCCAATAATTGAATTGACATAATTGAATGCAGTTTGTTTCATGTTGCCTTTACAACTATCACCATTAATCCTTGGTTCAAGTTCTTCATCGTCAGAATCCTTAGGGTCTTGATAAGGCTATGGAAAGGATAATGAATTACATTGGTTAAGTGTAAATCAAACTAACAACATTAATTGGAAACAATTGTCACCATAAAAAACAACCTTTCAAATGTTTACCTTAATTTTTTAACCGACTTAATTGATTTATTAGGATAAACAGCTAAACGAAAAGGCAATTATCATGTCTGTATTGTTTAATTGATTGTGAACTGTAAGTATTTTTGCGCGAAAAAAGCCATGAAAGAGTAGCAAGAAAGGGACTTTAATGGAAGCTCAATTATAATCATTAATATGATTAAAGATATTAAATTCAATTCAAAGTAACAACTGGGGTTAAACTTGAACTGGATCGTCATCACCGTCAAATTATAGTCAATGTTTACAAGCAATAAATTGTTCTGGTTGAAAAGAGGTAAAATAATACAAAAAATAGCAAACAATCATTTTAAAGGAATCAATGTTAAGCTTATGGATGAGACATTTAAGGCTCAAGATTAACAGAGCGTTTAATACACGGTCAATGACATCATGTGATTATACTAGATGAAGAAGGTGTTGATAAGGAAGACACCAAATTATACACAGAAAACTGAGTGATTAGGTAGGAAATAAGGTGACCAGAATGAAAAAACTGGTGATGATAATGAGAATGGTGAAAGGAATGATTGTCTGATTTTGGTCAAGTTAATTGAAGCTAAACTAACAACAGAATCATGAAAAACATGGCCTGAATAAGTTGACCTTTTTAGAGTTGAAAATGTTCTTTTGACAAGATAAGGCAACAATGAAAAAAGTTAAATGAACTACAATTCATCTTAAATTCAGCTGAATCTGATGGAAACGCTATACAATGATAAGGTCAATTTGAGATTTAAAATAAGATGAACAATGGTCGAGATGATTAACTTTATTATTGAAAAAGGTTTTGAACAAATATTGATTTATTGATGGCTGTTGATGATTTTTAAAGAGGGATATTATTGATAAACTAAATAGAATCACTCATCGTTAACACTGATTGAGAGATAAACTTTGATTGGTTTTTACTTTCTGAACATGAATGAACAATAATAGAAGATAACCAGAAAGATGAATGAATTGAAAATTATGATTGTGTCGACGTAAATATATGGAGTATTCACGTGAAGACTATGAAGGAGAAAATAGTAAAGGAAGTCTTCAAGTGATGATAATTAAGAAGGGAACAAATTGTTTTCTCTTTATTTCAAACTATTGAGCGGTATAAATAATAATTTTACGGATCACAACATGTAGTCAGTTAGCTTTTTCATGCCATATTGGTTTGTATCCATTTCTTGATCTGGCACTTTACATGGTGATAAGCGAGAGAAGGAGGGAAAATTATGATTTATCTAATTTAGACGGTTAATCAAGTAAAACTTGGAGGTGATGATTATGATGACAGAGGTTGAGAATGAGTTTGGAAAATACCTTTGAAATGGTGAAAGCTGTTGCTGGTGCTGCTGCTGATTCCAAAATATATGTACTTTCGTTGGCTTCCATTTTGATTTTTCAGTTAGAGTTGATCACAACTATTTACAAAGCTAGAAAAACATCGAGTTGAAGGTTGATTAGATACAATTTTGTAGTAGCACTTGAAAATCCATAAGCTTCACAGTAGTTTTAACGATTTTAAGTTGAAATTGAAATTAGTTAAACAACAGACAAGGTCATGAACCAATTCAAAACAAGTAATCAAAACGGTAAAAGTGTCTGATTACAACAGAATATGTAAGTTGCGAAAGAAAAAATAAATCCTTTTCTGGTTTACAGTTTTCTGGTTATTGTTGTTGTTGACAAGGGAAGATTGCTTGTAAAATGGTTTAAAAATAATATTTGGTGATCACACATAGAGAAGAAAATAAAAAGCTCTTTTGAAGATTTAATTTAAAAAACGAATAAATCAGCTGATGATTTAATTAAATAACTGAACAGTCATATCAATAAATATTAGATGAAACAAAAATTGAGTCAAAGATCAAAACATTACTACCCACATGTTGAAAGCTGGTAAAAAAACTGGTAACCAGACTGAAAGCAACACAAAAATGAACCAAATCTACTGTTGACTCACTTTTGGTTGCTGATTAAAGGCTCCCTTTTCCTCTCTTTGACTCTTTCTTTTCCTCTTTCTCTCTCACTCTTTTGTTTTCTTTCTTCAATTTTCCCCGTTTTAATTTCCCTCTTTCATTCATTATTTTAGTTGAGCGATTTCCAACCGATCTTTTTAAAGTGTCAATAAATATCGATATAAACCTAGAAACACATTCACCAGTCTGGATAGAAATCTTGTTAAAAATTGAAAGTAAACACTTTACAATTTTTAAACTAAAAATCATGTTAAAAGGCTTAAGCTAAACAAAATAAACATCTGATTTTAAAAGTCAATATGAAAATTTGATCAATTTTCGATTATCGATTCTTTCGATTAATCAATCATATCAGGACAACTCTACCAAAGAGTAAAGTAACTTTACTCTTTGAACTCTGCCTTATTTAACGCCAAAATTAACAATCTTTGTTTAACTCTGACGGTTCAGCAACAAGTTTTGATTCATTTGGCTCAACAATGTTAAAAACTGTGAAATTTTCGTTTTTTCTTCTCAGTCGAATGTGTGTTTGGTGACTTTTTAGTTGTTCATCTTATTCAAAATTCCTTTTTCATAACTTTCCTTATACAAACTCATTAATATCACTTAACTCTTTTCCTTTTTCTTCGTATCTTATTCATTTCTTTCAAGCTAATTTAGTGCTATCATTTTCAATGCGCAGATTCTTGCTCTGTTAGACATCATATTTGGAATCCAAATAATCTTAAACATCATTTAATTAGCTGATTCCTATAATAATTTGTTTAATATCAAACTCACCATGATTTATGTTTGTTCATCGTTTCCTTCAATCATTTCAAACTAAACAAAACAGTACTGGTTAAAATCAATGAAACTTCACTTTTGGTTATGTAATAGATGAAAAGCCCTGTCAAACGTATGAAAATATGTTTAAAATCAGATGGATCCTGAGTTACCATGAATATGCGCATCTTTTACATCAGTCAAAATGAAGGAGTGAAATGATCAAGGTCATATGATTGCGCAATCTGAATAAACAAAAGGTTTCATCAGATGGTTTAATTAGGTACCTTTGCTATTCTGGTTACTCTGGAAATCTCGCATTTTGATGAAGGTGATTCTGGTTGATTTTGGTTGATACAGACATGTAGCTTTCAAAAATGTCTAAACCCAAGATTTAGCGCCATGAAATGAATGATAGATATTCATAAGCAGCATATAATTATAACCACGAGATAATTTCCTGACAAACCTCTAAAATCCTTTATTGTCACTATTAGAAGATACATTCAATTAGACAAACATTCTAATATTTTAATCTTAATTTAAATCTCAGGTTACCCAAAACTGTACTCTGGTTTGGCCCATCTGACAATGGACAACTTCTTACAGGCAAAAGCGGCCAATCTTGGAAGGACCAAAAGAATGAAACGGAGCAGACCTAACATGGTTAAACAGGACTCATCATCACCATTCTCGTTGATTAAATTGCTCTTAACCAGCCATTTGAATCCACCAAATGACTATCCAATGAGCTACTCGCTAACAAACAGACCATCAACCGGACAATTTGGATCCGTCTTTTCAAACAACTTGGACGATTCATTGTATGACAAGAATGAGTTTCCAATCTCGTTTAGCAATAATATCAATACTGGACATTCACGATTCATTCAAGAGCCATTGGCATCGTTTTATCCTGGAACAAATGATTTGGATTTGATTGAATTGGGTGGAGGAGATGATACTTTTGATGGTCCAAGTGATGATTGGAACAATCAAGCAACAGCCAGATTAATCAACCCAATTGATACAGACCTTGCTGATGGTGATGTTAATGGATACTCGATGGACCCATTTATACCAATAAGATCAATGAGACGATCAATTTTACCCTTTGATTTGAAATCTCAATCAGAAATGATCAAACCAATTGCAATGAAGAGGAAAAGACGATTAACTGGACTATATCCATTGAATGGAGTTGAAAGGTCACCTGTTTTGGGTTCATCATTGTTTGATAAGAATCGTTATCGAATACAGCATCGATTAAATGGCGATCAGTTTGATTGAATCATATCTTCATCTGATTAACTGTTACTAACTGAGTATTCCAAATTTTACAAGTTTAAAGTAATTTATTATTTCCATTTATAAGTAACTCGGCAATTAGTAACAGAATCAAGTCTTTTTAATCGCATAGCTGGAATCATAACTAATCATTGAAAAGTTAAATAATATGAGAAATTAGCTCTCGATTCATCGTAACTTGTTAATTACCAAATTTGTGGTTACAAACCCATTGTAATTGTTACATTAAGTCCTCATTCAATGGTTTGAATAGCATTGATGTATGATTGGCTTTGTTATTCGTACAATAATTAGCACCAAATTATTACATCAATTTAATTGATTGGGAAAAAGATCTGTTAATGAAAATACAAAATATAGACAGTAAATTCATACAAATGCACCAATGTCAACCCAAATAATACATCAACATTCAAAATGGGAGCACAATTGTTCACAAATACTTACTCTTTGTTAAATAAAAGAAACAAATCATATTGATTAATTAAAATTGTCTTTGCCTTGATTACCAGAAATGGAAATGGTTAGTTATGTTTATTAGCTGAGTTAGCTTGATGAATGATGATCTCTGACTGAAGCTCTTAAAGGCTCAATAAGAATCTCAGCAATTCTTGAATGCTTCTGGTTTCTATTATTATTTCTAATATCTGTTAATAACTATTGTTATTTGTAATCTTTTATAGCCACATTGAGGTAATATACGTACCTTCAGTGTACCTCAATTCAAAACACATTCATATAGTGAAGATTCAAATGAATAAGCGAGACTTAACAGATCAAATAGGAGCTTGAAATAGTTTGGGTCCGTCAATTTCGTCAATAACTTCATTGACTGTCCAGGAATTATTTCGATGAATAAAAAAACTTGTAATTTAGCATGATGTAAAGCTTGTGTACAAGGTAAACTGATGAAGATGGATTTATCATTGAATTGAGGTGAACTTTCCCGATGAAGATGGGCGAGTTAACTAAATGGACATCAAATTTTTCTTACTGAGCAGGTGGACATAAAAATAAGATGAAAGGTGGTGTTGAATGGAGGCCTTGAGTTTGATTGATGTTGCCCAGCCATTCCTGATCATCAATGATCTCTAAATTGAAACATGTGATGACATTTGCCATCTTAAGGTGTCAATCTTTTATCAATACTTAAGACTGATGACGCAAATCACAGAGTTATTTAGCCAAGCTTTTGACGACCTTTAAGGTTCTGCATCAGATATATCTATGGATGAATTTGGCTTTCAACGAGAGAACGATAAACAATCCGAGTTGCGATGAATTCAATGGAATAGACTAACTAACAAAGTCAAAGTTAAAAAACAAACAAGGTTCAAATTTATTAGTTGATATCATTAAAAATCATTACAACAGCAAATGAATTTTACCGTAAAATATTTAAAAGAGTATGAATTTCAATCAATATAAAAATGTTAAACAAGTTAAAAAATACAAGTAAAAAATCAATTTTTAAATTTTGATCACATTTTGATGGCACTTTTAGAAAAGTAAAATTAGAAAAGCGTTCTACTGAGATTCATAGATGATTGCATTTCTAATCGTTTTTCTGGAACTTGAGGAACAATCGAATGTGTAAATAATGTCACCATTGGGTGACATGTTGATATCAATTATGTGCACTCCATACGTGATTCGTAAAGTATGAATCAAGGTTAGAGCCTGAATTTTACATTCAGGCTTGAATCGGAGCACGAAGTCTCTTCCACCAAAAACAGTTACTTTTTCAGTGGTATCCTTAACTGGTTGACTATCGATGTGCTCAGAGCGATCCTCAGCAGTGCTAAATAAAAGTGAAGCCTTTTCAATAAAGTCGCACACATCATCAGAATCGTCATCTTGATGCATGATTATTTTAGTGACACAGTTGTCTGTATTTGTAAAAATTTGAACGAGACTCATTTTAACAGAGAAAAGTACAATTGAACAGAAATAAATTTAAACTTGATTGGAAAACAGAAATGAACAGAATTAATTGAAGTGACAAAATAAAAATATAATGGTCAAGCTAATACATTCAAACAAGTGATAGACTAAAGGAAGAAACAAGGCAATTTATATTCAAGAAAACATCAAAAGTTGACCAATTAGATCAAGACTAGACAATGAAAACACAACGGATTATGTCACTATGACAAGAGCGCGACCTTTGATTGTCAAGCCACTCGTATTAATATTACAATTGAAGAGTTGAAAATTTATACTTTATTCATACAGGATTAGATGACCACGTTTACATGTGTTTTTCAAAATTTTAATTGTAATCAACCAATAAAAGAGCGATGAGGTTAATGAAGGAAGAAGAAAGAATCAACATTTACATTGTAAAACATTCGATGATGGATTTACCGTATTGACGCGCATAGTGGCCCCGTGCTTTAAAATGAGAATGCTACTGTGGCCCCGTGCTTTAAAATGAGAATGCTACTGTTAGAGGCACAATTTTTTGACAATAGAGGCGCCAAAAGGTACCTCTGAATAATATTTTTGCGCATTCGCAGGGGCTCCAAAGGCGCTTACATAAAAAAACGCTTATATGATGGCGTACTTTTTTATAAGCGCTATGAGCGTCAATACGGTACTCTATGAAAAAAGGAATCGAAGCTCTCTACTTAGGTGCATAATCAAGTACATAAAGAAGATAATGAGTAGAGCTTATTTCTAATGAAGTAACAGCGAATAGATTGTAGCCAAACTCTCGTCTTAAATGGTTAACCAATGATAAAGCAGTAACATTACATCCCTGGGTATATTTGATTGTAATATCTTTTCCACCAAAGGCACTAGTTGTTTCCTCTTGGTATTTCCTTGGCGAGAGACTGCACATTAACCTTCCACTCACTGTTGGAATATTTTTTCCACATTCATTCAGATAATTGATTACACCGGTTGCAACATCATCGTGATTTAAAATTATCTTGTAGACAATATTATTATCTGGATCTGCATAGATGGTAATCAAGCCCATAATTGAGTTTTAAAGAGTAATACAAATCTTTTCAAATCTTAAATCTTATATCTTCTAGTTTAATAAGAGCCATCTATGGTTAAATAATAATTTTAATTAAACAAATTATTATCAGTATCTAATACTTATTTTTACAATAAATAAGCGCCATCTTCTATACTAGCTAAGCAGACTGACTACCGTAGGTAATATAGTTGATGGCGCTTATTTATTGTAAAAATAAGTGTGTTTTCTAGGCGCTTTCATCAGTCTTACGGTACTAATGCTGTAAGGTGGCAGCATTTACGCGTGCATGATTTGAGAGTTTGGTGTGTTGGAAAAAGCAAACCATTTCTTAAAAACTCATTTTGTGACAAATTTCTGGAAATGATAAAGAAAAAGAATGTATTGAACACAGAATACACTAAAAAAATTGTTTAATAAGAGAACTAAGAATCTAATGAAAGATGAAATCTCAAACTTGCAGAGTGAAATAAATGATAACAAGGCACATTTTTAGATCAGTAAAACAACAGTCGAAATGAATTACAAATTTACAAACTTGATAGATTTGATTTGAAAAATTAAAATGGAAAATCAGTTTTGTTGAAAGCACCAAAACTGATTCAATAGACTAGATAAAACCAGAATAGTGTTTGTGACGTTTTTTCCTTATTTTTTCAGGTTTCACTGACAAAGGCAGTCTCTTTGCTTCCATCTATTAAAATGATTACCAGAAGCAGCATCAAAAGTCCATATCATCGTCGTCCGTGTCAAATTCATTTCCAAGTATAAAATTAAATTCCTCATCATCAGTGTCAAAGTTACAACAACATCCATCGATGTTTTTGTGAAAGACGTTAGATTTATCGGATTTGTCCTGTTTATCATATCTATCATAAGCACTATGAGAATCAGCAGTTTCGTCTTCAACGGACTTTGATTCACTTGACCCTTTAAGTGGAGACGTTTTTGGTGGACAATCGAGATAAGAGAGTTCATCATCTGCTAAATTGGCCAAGAAATAAGAGTACCTTGATTGAGGATCGTCGAGTTCAAACTGTACTTTTCCTTGATTGGAACCATCCTTTGACTGTGACTTGACGGCGACCTTTAAGTCGATAGGATTTCCAGTTGATTTGGGCGATGAACCTGATTCTATCTCCATTGTGTCAGACATTTTCACCAATATAAATTCTTAGTCAAGTTAACAGCAAACCAATCGTATCTTGATATTGTTACAATTAAAGAGCTGACAATTTATACTCTGCACAGGATTAGATGACCAAATGAGATGAGTTAAACAGTTACAAAAATTGAATCTACGTTTAAATTTGTTTTTCAAAATTTTAATTGTAATCAACCAATAAAAGAGCGATGAGGTTAATGAAGATAGAAGAAAAAATCAACATTTACATTGTAAAACATTTGTTTCTAATGAGCATGGTTGGTGTAGGGTTAAGGGTAAACAGGTTCAAATTGATTGGATAATGATTAAAACTTACAGTTGACAAGTTAAAAGGTTTACAATCAAATAAAAGATGACAATTTACTGATGTTACTCAGTGGATAAAAATGGGATTGAAGCTCTCCACTGAGTTGCATGGTTAAGTACAAACAGTATCCCACCATCACTTAATCCAGTAACAGCTGATAGATTACAACCAAACTCTCGTCTTAAATGGTTAACCAATGATAAAGCAGCAACTTTACATCCAGAGGTAAACTTGATTGTAATATCATTTCCACCAAAGGTGCTTGTCGTTTCCTCTCGGTGTTTCAAGGCTCGGTCATTCTTGGTCTCAAAATTGGGTCCAATTGAATTTTCAAATTTAATTCCACTTTCGTCCAGATATTTAATGACATCGCTTGAAGCATCATCGTGATTTACAATTATCTTGTAGACAATGTTATCTGGATTTGCATAGATGGTAATCAAGCCCATGATTGTTGAACACTGTTAGGAGAATCACAAAATACAAATAATTCAAAGTGTTTAAGTGTTTAAGTGTACTAAATGACAGCGAACTGTTATTTGCTGGAGATTGGTGGTTCACTCGAGATTTTATGTGATGAAAATGATAAACGTATCAAAAGCCAAGCTTATTTTTAGATGTTTGTAATGATCAAAACAGAATCACATTAACATTAAGGGAATTGTTCATTTTTATGCCAAAAATCTGTCAAACTCATAAACAACTCGCTTTTGCTTTATTTTATTTAACTTTTTTTCCGACAAAACTTGGTTCATCGAAACATTTATTTTGTTTTCATCATTGTAACCAAAATGACAATCAAGAAACCTTCAAGGTTTGAGTAGCAACAATTTACTTTAAATTGCTCAGTTTAAACCTACTTTCAACTCATTTAATTGTCAAGATAGTTGAGCAACATTGTTTAATAACCAAGACTGGCAAGTAAATCAATCTTATTGGCAAACAATTAACTGGTGCAATGATAATGACGAGACTAAAAATCGGGTTAAGAGTTTCTTTCAATAATTAATAAGCACAATCTGATTTGTCTACGAACTCGCGAGTCCCATGATTTACATAACTAAACCAAACAACAACATTTAAATCATAAGATCATTGAATATAAATAGAATCCAAAGATCAGTGAATTGTTGGCAATAATAATTGCTAAATTCAAATTGATTGGGAAAAAGTGAATGTTCATTGAAAGTAAATAAACGTGTAATTTACGCGTTAATTAGTAATGGAATTAATAAAAGAAAACATTTCATTTAGAATGTAATTTGTCAAAAATGCGACACTAATTCAAATTTCGATAGACATTCAATGAAGTCATCACCAACAATATTATTGTCAAGATTGTACTTAAAGTGGCGGTTTAGGTGAAGATCATGTTTTATCACAATTTCATCACTAATACACATTATATGGTTAATGTTGAGATTGGTGCCAAATTTTTTAATGGATCCTATTCAAATAGCTACTTCATTGGATTGGGTTGAAAACTGTGATTTATACAAAACAACAATTCTCATGTGAAAATCTCTACAATTGGATTTTTAGGAGTGAAGTGAAAAAGTTAATTAAGTGAATCGGTGAAAATATAATGAGCAAAAGTAAATTTTGTGCCAATGCTGAAAACGAGATGTAATCTTGAATTGAATCAAGTAACTGTGTTGGTAAACAATTGTAAATATCTAAATTTAGCTACAATTATCAAGCAAGTATTGTAATGATAATGAAAAAACACTTTAATGATCAAATTTCATGAATCATGAAATCTTTATAGAAACTATGATTTGCCGATAAATTTGCGAAATGAGTTAATATTATTCGCTATGAATTGAAGATTCAATTGTAAAATGATCAATTGGTTAACAAGAGGCATTGTAAGAGAAAATCAATGAATCACGATAATAATTTGAATAATATTGCATTTATTCTAACACATTTGATTGTGGTTACAAATTAAAAAAATTTTGCCCTTATCTTACTTTTTTTGATTTACAAAGTTACACTTTGGTCCATCTGATAAAATCATCAGTTAATTAGTTGCGATCAACGCAATGATTGGCTCGAAAAAGGTGAAAGATTCACAGACATGCTTGAATAAGCAGTATCACTGCTAATTTCGGATACATCAGGTTCCACCTTATTCATTTTCAATTCTTGTAGGGTAAGCATTAGTTTAGTTGATTCATCTCCTTTTGGATATGCAAGTTGCTAAAGAAGAAAATACAAAATTAGTTGATAAATCAGTCATAAAGTAATTGGTAACAATTTAAGACAATGTTACAAATAAACTTACCTCTCCGACATCATAAATATAAACTTTTCCATTATCATCACCGATTGCTAATTGATTACCAGATGGTGTCCATATAACTCTGTTAAGGGCAGGGTTACCATCTAATGTAACCGAGGCGGTTGGAAGTTCAGTGTCATTATTGAGATTCCAAACATCTATTCGTCCCATACCATCTACCGTTGAAAATAGTGCTGGATGAACGGGTGACCACCGAACATCATAAATATAATCACAGTTATCTTCGAATGAATACAATGGTTTCCCCGTTTTATCTTTACTACTCCACAGTTTAACGGTCCAATCAATAGATGATGTTAAAAATAGATGTGAAAAGTCAATTTGAGTATTTACAGAATGACAATCTACATTTGTCACTGGTCCTTGATGACCCTCATATATATCCAAAATTCCTGCTTTAGACCCGTGTCGACAGGCTGTGTAAACGGCACCTTCTTCACTTCCAATAACAAAATTATTATAATCTCCATAAGGGAAAGAGATTGAAGTAACAGCTACTGGTTTGGATTGTTTTTGCTGGCTCAGTTCCATAGTATCTTGAGGTGAAGACAGCATATCTAGACTCCAAGAGCATAGTTTACCATCAGTTGAAACTGTAATCAAATTGTGAGCATTTTGGGTACCAACAATTTGAATACAATAGATAGGATGAGTGTGAGCTGATGCCGAAAGGGGACTTCGCTGGATTGGTGTTCGTTTGTTGACACGATTGTCCCATAGCACAATTTGACCAGAGTAAGTACCTCCAACGATCAAATTGGGATGAAATTTGGCGAAACAAACTGACACTAAAGGTGATTGGCAATGCAGTACATATTCAGGAGTAGTTTTACGAAACTTCATGTTCCATATAAGGCAAACTCCATCAGGATCCGTTGGAAGGTCTTCATTATTGTTATAAGAAACAGCTAGAAGCTCAGGAAATTGAGTTGACCAATCGAAACAGGTAACAGTGCGATTTTTCGACCATCTTTCATCGAAAAAGCATTTATTAAAAGTAAGACTAGCACCAGACTGATCCTCACTGAAAAAAAGAGGCAAACAGTTTCTTAGTTTTCGTAGATCTTTAACAGTATATGTCATTGTTCAGCAATGAACTTTCAGTTTCAGCAAGCAAAATTTTGGTACTAAGCTGAACCGTAAAACAAAAAAGGGAGCAGAAACGCATGAAAAAAAGAGAATGAGAATAATAAAAAGCTGAAAAGGTTGACTTATTTTGATAAGTTATGTGAAAAAATAACTAGTAGATCAAGTATGGATTTAGTTAGGTAAGCAGCAACAAAAAAACGCTTTTTGAAGTTTTTATAAATTCATTGTCACATAACCGAAAGTAGAGCCGTGAATTATAGTAAAAAAAGTTTCCTTCAAATAGTTTAAGCATTAAAATACTTATTCACCTTTCCATATCCTCTTTTGCTCCAGTATAATCGATGAAAATATCAGGCGATTCATTCCAAAATAATGCCTTTTCCACTATTCTAGTTGCTCGATCAAAAAATTTGAGAAATTCTGTACTATTCATGATTTGAAGTTTTCTTTCTTCAGTTAGATCTTTCTTTTCTTTTATCGGTTCCTTTGTTTCTTCTTTAGCTTCACGTTCCAATGGAGTCTTTGCTGGTTCAACCATACCAACGTTTGGCAGTCCACTGCCGGTAGATACTTGACGGGATACTTTTGGAAAAATGTTTGATGTTCCATATTGAAGCGATGATCCTTCCACATCCTCCTCATCGTGAGCATACTTGTCATCATACGTAAGCACTGATTAGTGGCAAGGGTTGCAAGATTAGAGGAGATCCCAGATAAATCAGAAAACGGGGAGCCAAGAATTTGCATGAGAGTCAAGGATGAGAATATTTGTTGTTTAAATGGTTATTTTTTCGTATTCAGAAACAGAATAGAGCAGTCAGAGGAGCATGAAGTAGGACGATTGCAAAAAAAAGGATGAGAAGACAAAGAAAAGAAAAAGCGGATATTGAGGATGAAACAACATAAAACAATCAAATGATTGAACATATGAGTTTTAATTAACGAAAAAGAAAAGATAAACGAAAAAAACCGTTGGAACCAAGGTATAACCAAATAAAATTAAGTTGAAATAAGCATGCAATGTTATTGTAACAAGTGCTTACAAAGTGTTAGTCAAATGATTAAAAAGCAATGAAAGTGGGAGATGGTCAAAACGAGCAATAATTATGATCAGTCAGTATGATTAGAATTTTGAAAAACATAATGAAGACAAGAATAAATTTTGTAGGAATAAATTTAGAAAAAAATTCAAATAAAATGAAGAATTAAATGTTACTAAGGATAAAAGAAAGTAATAGACAAATAAACATTTAGCTGGGATGAAGGACATAATTATGATCTTTCTTTTAGTTTTAAATTGTTTTAAAACATACCTTGGAATTCATCTTCCCATTCTAAAAAATCGATGGAATCGGTCTCTTTAAAAATGGGTTATTATGATTTTAGTCAGGGAAAGGCGGAAAGATAGATAGATAGTGATTTGATTTGTCAGGGAAGGATGAGTTTTGATTCACGGGCAATCATTTAAAAGATTGATTTGGAGGATGTTTTGGTAAATATTGAGTGTTTGTGGTTTAAGATTAAATTTTTTTTATGAGATTGTTTGGATTGGGAGAGAAAGATTAAAAATATTTTGAGAAAGTAAAGGGTTTCTTGGATGGAAAATGTTTGTTTGTAAGTTTTGTTTGATTATACCTTCGTCCCAGTGAATAACTACGATTAGATTAGATGGTTAGAAGTTATTAGATTTTAAAGCGAGGGAAGAGATGAAAAGAGAAAGAGAAGAGATGAATTGTTAGCGGTGTAATCAGCCAGCAAAGAGTGGGTGATGGTAAAATAAGTTAAAAAGGGGAAGAGAGTGATGAAAGGTGAACAAGCTTTGGGTTACCTACCATAGTAGTCCACAGGATGTGCTGCGAAATAGAGAAATATACATAGAGAGTGAGAGAAATAGGGAAGGAATTAGTATTTGATTATAGCCAAGCGGGTTAATCAATATAAAAATACGTTCATGCGATAAGAAATAGCATTGTTTGAATGTAACAACCTTTCTTTTTGGATGGTCCATCTGCTGGTGAACCGTAAGGAAATCCTCAATGTTAATTGTAAGCATTTAAAAAAGGTTAAGTAAAGTTATTTTTTTAAAGGATAAAACTCAATTAGCTAATGTGTTATGATTTTTAAAAGTTAAAAGATTCAGTTAGGTTAATGACTATCAATATGATACTAATTTAGTAGCTTCAAGAAGCAAAAGCGTTTTTTGATAAATGATAAGAGACACAAGTGTGTTTTAAAATTGCTTGGATGACAATTACCATCTCTATCAGATCCGGATCCCGTCGTCTGCGTCTGTTTATTGTAAGTTACACTTTCCTTAGGTGGAATGTTAATTTCATTGACATTAACTAATGCAAGGCTAATTGGCTTCTTTTTTGGTTCTTCCACGGGTGGTTCTGCGGCATGTTGTCCACTGGTTGTTTCAGACGACACTTCAGTATTAGGTGAAGGAGTTAATTGTGCTATATCTATAAAGATAGAAAGAGTGTAAATTTTGAGTAAATATGTGAATAAATTGAATGTAAACAAGATGTGCAATAGGCAATAGTAAGGTGACAACACCCTGCAGATGTTGACAACTTAGCCATTAAGAAACATCATTTTGGCAAAATTAAATCGACTTAAATCAATTTTTTGAAGATTGATGGTTGGAATGAAAACAATTCACTAGCCTAGAGAAATCTTGATAGGAATTAAAAATTATCTTACCCCCTAATGGATCGATTCCTAGTTGAGTTAACAGTTGGTTAGCTTCTCTTCTCAAGTCTCCTGTGTTTTTCCCCGATGATGGAGCATTTGATCCAGCTTGCTGAATAGAGAAAAGATAAAGTAATTATATAAAATATCAAAATAAAATATAAAATCAAACCAGAATATCTATGAAGAGTTAGATAATAAACAGAATAGAAACCAAAATTTACCTCAAGCAAAGCTGCTTCCTTCTCTCTTTGCCGTCTTTCTTTTTCTGCTTGCAATTGAGCTAATCGTTGTCTCTTCTTTTCCAATTCAGCTCTTCTATCTGCCATTGTAAAAGATCAGGATAGATTAACAAACAAATGAGAATAAAAAAACAATTTAAGTTAACAATTAATCAATTTGTTGGCGACATTTGAGTACACAAAAGTAATAACAATACATAAGGAGCAACATGATTGGTTAATCTGACTATTAGTCATGAAGATGATGTAATGGCGGTCTTTTTGAATTGCAAATATTCATCTTTAATCTTTAAAATTACAATTGTAAACAATTAAATCAAAAAATACATTCCAATTAAAGTTAAAATCTTTAGAATAATTTTTGACAAGCATTATCTGTAAAATAAAATGAATAACCATGAAAAATTCAATCTAATTCTACCAATATTAACAATTCGCTTGAAGTCTAATGATCATGAAAAGGTAAGGACAAGCTAAATGAACAATGTCAACTCAAATGATTTATTTTGATTTTAATTATGTAAGTAAGGTTTAGATAAATTAAAATTCATGACAAGCTGAGTATACCTCAACATCTTACGATAGGTTAAGCTAATTTTTAAGTGTTGATGTTTACCTCAACATTTTCTCTCCGAGATTCGTAAGTAAAATAAAATAGCCAACTATTTTGAGGGACTAAATATGGCCAATGGTCAACACAGGCAACTTTGAAATCAAAACTAACGTAAAAAACTAAATAAAAACAGATTTTTAAATATGGATCCAATGGCGAGTAAGAAGCAAAACATGCTTTTGTGATTAATGGGGGAAGGTGAAGGAAGAAGGGCAGCAATTAGGAAATACAAGTAGAGATAAACTCTTTCATCATACTAAAAACACGTTATAAACACAATGGTTCATTTATTGATCAGATTAGTTTTATTGTCAACTGTTTTGTGAAGGAAACTTTTACCAAATTTTTACCAATTGATTTTAATAAGTACCAGAGGATGTTTACAATTGACTTTGAATAAAAAGACCCAATTCAATCAACGTTACCATTTGCTTTCTGTGTTGCTCTTCAAGTTGTTATAGTTTATATTTTAAACCCAACGAAAAGTTATTGCTTTAAATTTTATCATGGCAGAAGGAATTCTCAAACCAGGCAAAAGGATCAAGCCATTCCTGGAGCTTGATGCGGCTAAAAAATTGGTGGAAAAACTATACGACGTTAAAATTAAAAAAATTAGCGAGCTTGACTCCTATGATGACCGCAACTATAAAGTTGAAACTGTAGTCGCTTACAAGGAGTTTGGAAACCAGTTTGTCTTCAAAATAACAAATACTTTGGACTCATCGGTTCCAGGATTGATTGGTAAGTGACAACAAAAAATATTCAGACAGAACTGCAACTGATTTGCCTAAATTTCTTATAGAATCGATCAATCAAGTTTCACTTCTCGCCAAAAGAGCAACCAATTTTAAAGTTCCATGTCCAATTCCTGATAAAAATGGAGAACTGGTTTCAAGAGTCAAACTGGGAACATCGGACGAAGAAAATGCTGTTAGGTTGATGACGTTTGTTCCAGGTACAATTATAAACCAGGTTGAATACACCGAGGAATTATTAACCCAAGTTGGACGAGCGTGTGGAGAATTGACCAAAGGCTTAGCGGTATTTATTTAAAATAGATACTAAAAGTTCGGAATCTGATAATTTCTCAATCATTTAATTAAAAGGATTTCGAAAGTCAAGTTTTAGCTGAACGGCAAACCATTTGGTCATTGAAGAGTTTAGACAAATTGGAACAGTTTCTGGAGCCAATTAAGGACGAAAAACAGCTGTCATTGGTTAAAACTGTCATGAAAAGGTTTAATGACAAAGTTGGTAGCGTGATTGACACTTTTCCATCTTCAATTATCCACGGTGATATCAATGAACATAATATTGTGGTTGATGAAGTTAATGGTGAAACGAAATTTTCTGGCTTTCTTGATTTCAACGATTCCCATAAAGCACCAACTATTTTTGATCTGGCGATCCTCTGCGCTTATTTAACACTTGATAGTCACACGATTGAACCAATGCTTGCTCCGAAATATATAATTTCTGGTTACAAAAGTGTTGTAAATATAAGTGAACCAGAATGGAGTATTTTGCCGGTTAGTATTAATATCTCATTTAACTGATTACGAATCTATTTAATTGCCCTTTTCATCAAATAGATTTGCATGTTGGCTCGATTTGTACAGTCTGTAACACTTGGAACTTATAGTCATCAATGTGAACCTGACAATGAATATTTAATATCAACAGCTAAGAAAATTTGGAAGATTTTAGATGTAATGATGGATCAAGATGAAGACGAGTTGTTGCAAACGTGGAGATAAACAAGAATGCGATCTAAGTCTGGACATTTTAACCGAATTATTTTACCAAACCAGTTTGAGATTGCCAAATTTACAAATTTTTTATTGAAACTAGAAGCCTGAATTGTAAAAATTTAGATTAAATGTAAAAGGAAGATGAATGTATCTCCTGTTTATGCACAGCAATTTTTTTAACAATTGTATGAAATTTGGTACTTCTTCAAGTATAAATAATACGATACGATAATAAATAAACTCTTATATGGATCCGGTTAAATGTTCAACACCTCGTGATTAGATCCAAAACATAGATGGGTGAATGTAGTGTTGTGGGTAATGCCACTTCGAATGCAAACTGAAGAAACGAAAAATATAAAGAATCAATAAATTGTTGGTGGAAATGGAGAAAAAAATATGAAAAGGACCTTACTTTGAATAATCATTGCGATGAGTCCAGTGGTCAGGTTTATGGTGTGATGAGTGCCCATGATGTGTATGGTGATTGTGGTGATCATGATTATGATGATGGTGATAATGATACGGAATAGGGAAATGAACAGGAATAGTAACTGTCTGTGAAAATAATAAAAACCAAACAGTTGAAGAAGAGCGTGGACCAATAAATAAGCATAAGAAAAGACTCTTATGTAAACTTGTGTAAAGCAACGAAGATTTGAAAAGACGGTTAAAATTTATAATTACCTTAATTTTACATCCAAGAAGGCCTCCACCTATTGAAAGGATTAATCTTTGACCTCTCCTCCGGTAACCACTGGAACACATTGGTGTAGGAACAATAACCAGATACATAAGAAACAAAACAATCAGTTTAACTTCCAATATTTTCTCCATTTTAAGAGCAGACATTGTTAAGAAAGCTCAACACAATGCAATGAATCATAAGGTCGTCTTAAACTAAACAATGTAATCCTTTCCCTCGCTACTTTTATAGCTACCATAACAAGGAGTGTAAAGCTATTATGGACAAAAAATAAATCAACAGTAGTTATACATTCATGTTTTTCTTTCAAGAGTTACAATTGTTTCTAATTATGTTGATTTGATTACGTGATTAATGAAGTTTGACTGTTATACATTATTTACAGACTTTCTGGAGCTTCTTGATGTGCAACAGTTTTCAAGGTAAGATTTTCTTGAATATTTAATTTGTACCTCAAATCTTGCTCTATTTGCCCAAAGTAATCAGACCTTTCATAGTTATTTTTTTTTGAATTTACTTGTTCTATCACCAATTCTTCAATTCACTAATCACATGGGAAAGTATCATGGATGGATCAATGATTGGCTTATTTGCATTAATTTAGTAAAGCAAAATTAAATATTCAACTGCATTTCCTATTGGAAACAGTCGGAAAGGATTGGAAATACATACCTTCTCATTTAAATCAGGACCAAGCCATTTATGAAAGAGGTTTCTTCCTTCAAAATTTGGTTTCCCACTTAACAATAAATCAAGATTCATATTTCCCATACGATTGCCACCAAAGCTCAGCCCTTTTGGATCAAAAGGATTGTCCAAACTGTTTTCTAATAAGCTTCCTCTACTGAATATTTGGTTCATTGGGTCGTTACGGTCATCCAATCCATTTCCAATCTCCTGGCCATCCATGAGCAAATTAGGATAGTGTTCATTACCCGGTAAACTTGCCAAATCAATTGACGGGACACCATTCAATTGATTGAATTGACTGAACAGCTCTTCACCGTAAACTCCGTGTCCTTCGTCATCGTGCTCTTCGATATCAGTTAAAGGGGGTAAATCATGAGACATTGGCTGTGTTGGGGAAATATAAGAATATGTTGACATGGTTTGATCTGTTAAAGGAACAGATAAACTGCGATGACCAAGTAACCCATCAATATCAACATTTTTCTGCTTCATGGCTCTTATAGAATTGCTTAGAGTATCGATACTCCTGATTAGTTTGTTTGTGCTGGTTTCACTGGGTTTATCATCAAAGCCATCAGAATTACGAAATCCACGGAAACTATACATTTTACTTGATTCCATTGGCATACTTGCAATTGATTGATCACTATTTTTTGAGTTAACATGGTTAAACAATGAAGGTGGTGAGGTTTCAGGAAGAGAGTCTATTGTTTCTACAGGAAATTCAGAACTTCTTGATGTTGATGGACTTGGACTGTTGACAGGCTTTGAAGTTATATGGTAATTGACATAACCATTATCAGATTCTTTGACCTCTTCGATCACAATTGGAGGTGAACTCTTGGTTTTCCTGATAATTATTTGAGGCTCGTTTGGGTTACCTTTTCCTGATGATATTTTCTGAAAAGCTAATCGACTTTCCTGAGCTTTTTGGGCCTTACGTACTCGTGCTGTTTTAAAAAATAGTTCATTAAAAAAGGTATTCATCAACAATGACAATGATTGGTATATTAAGGCTTACATTTTGTGTAAGGAATCATGATTGGAATGAAGCCGGCCAATGTTGGTTTACAGTTGTGGACACTATTTTTACACTTATTTAGTTCATCAGGCTTGATACCTTTTTTATTATCCCATAAACCAGGAACAAGATTTTTGGATAAAGGTTTATGCATGAACCTTTGTGATAAAGTTGATGATTTATAATGATGATCTTGGTATAGTGGTGATAAAGAAGGTGATGCTGTTGTCGTAAATATTGGATTTACTTTTGAATCTGTTGGTTGACCAGGCTCAGAGTGACTTGATTCACCAGTTCCAACAATTATTATAGTGTTTCCATTTTTGCTGGACTTTTGTGGAAGATACCTGGATGCAGTCAATTCACCTCCTGGTCCTAAAACTATTATATTGTTTCCATCATCGTCATCTTCCTCTTTAGATCTAACACAATTAAAAGGTAGTATTGTACACATAAACAAAATTAGAGAACAATTTAAATATATTTGATTAACTTTTTTATTACACATTTTTAATCAACTTTTCCTCTCTGATTTTTTTCTACTTTAGATTTAATCAACATCCAAAGTACAATATTTAACAAGATTAAGACTGAAGTATCACCACAATAAACACCAGCAAACGTTTAATTTGGAGTTAAAGACGAAAGTGAAGAGAAAGTTGGATGAGCAAACGTAAAAGAAGAAAATAATCATCAATACAATGGAAGTAAAAGAAGATTCTTTTGAAATAAATGTATTCAAATGCTCTTGAACGACCCAAGATCCTGTTTTAATTCACCCAAATCCTAAACAAAATCCTTTAATTCCTTGGTTAATCATGTAGCTTGTTAAGAATGTCATGACCCTGAGTATTTTTTGTTACAAAATCAATTATAGTCAACGTTGTTTAGCTTTAAGTTTAAGGTCAATGCGAAATCTAATAATCATCTATTAATATTTCAATGTATTTCATTCAAATTATAAATTTACGTCAAAACTGACCAGTCTTTCTGAGAATCTTTCAGAAACTGCAATCAAATGCTTTGAATGATAATATAATGCAATTTGACTTTCACACTGATTTTCCAATGTAAATTTCCGTAAAAGGTTCATAAATTTTGAATAAGAATGAATGTAAAAAATTTAGTTTTTCAGTTTTGATTCGAAAAGAAGCAAAAATTTTCGAAATGCAACATTCCATTGAAAAAATATTCCCAAAAAAAGTTCACGAAGTCCATTTAGAGTTTATAAGTGTGTCTCACTTTGGACTGAAGATGTCTTGTCTTCTTGAAGTGATATCATTTGATAACCTTTTAGACGACGCAATAATGAAATGGTTTCGATCGATTGAATAATCGATAATTTGTCTCACTAGATGTCTCTCAAATCAAATCAAAAAAACCATATGATGCAAAGAGTAAGAGTAAAAGTGTGATCATAAAACGTAAACAAATTCCCTTAACATCTTCATTTTGCTTCTCTTTCTTTGCTTCTTGTCATTTTTTCTGTGCTTTAGTGTGTGTTTATTTATGTGTGAGGAGTTGCATCAACAGCAAACATCAGCTACATCATTATAATCATTACCAAATCCCGCAAAACAACAGGTTATCTTTAAGTGAAACCAAAATTTAATGTGATATCAAAAATCGAGAGCAACATTGGCCAAAAATCAACAGCATCAATAAAAAAGAAACCCTTTCATCATCAAATGTCTTTTTCTTTGTATTTAATTCAAATTTTACCTTTTCTTTTGTGATTTATAAAAGGCATCTCTTACCTTTTAACCGTCAATCAAGTGTGTAAAAATATTTACTCGACGATTCGCTTAAACCCAATCAATCTTATCTAATCACAATTGTTGCCAAATTTTGGAGGAAAATGCCTCTTTTCCACAAAAAAGAGGTTAAAAAAGATGGACCAAAAGTGGATGAAAAATACGACCTTAAAGATGTTCTTGGAACGTGAGTATAAACATTTATAATTTAATTTTTATTTCCATATTGATTATTATTTTAATTACTTTCATTATCATATCAAATGATGTTTAACCATTTAACCAGTTTTTTTCACACCTAATTGTAACACTTGATTGAGGTAATAAATGGTGACAAAAACAGTGCAACCAAAGCAGCAAAATTGAAACATTACATTGAAACTGTGAACATGAAAAGAAAAGGCGTCCATCAGTAACATGATATTGGTAATGAATCAATCTAATTAAGATGAAATTAACTCGGGCAACCTTGCCAGTTAATCTAGTCTCATGATAACAAGTTGATTTCAATCAAATGATCTTTCCACTCAAATCTTACAAGATAATAATTAACCAGTCCACATGTTTGATTGAGAAAAGGTTATACCTTTAATTTATTGGTGGTGTCAAGATAAAATGAATAGCAGGTTAGAGTACCTGTCAACATCTTAGTGTGTAAATCAATGAAACCAGAAAAAAATATTGATTTCTACTTGACTGATTAGATAATTGTTGACTATTTCAAGGTTAAATCATTATTGTGGTCATGATTATCAAAAGTCAGTTGTGACAGTTTCTTATCGCGTGATGATCCTACCTGGTTAACATAACCACAAAAGGTCCATACCTACTTATAACAGGTAACCTTGAAGGTAACTGCATACAAAAACAGATCTCACTTTCATCTTTTTTTTTATTATCATTTTACTCTCGCTCTTCAATTGATTTCTTGACGTTGATTGTGTCAGTGAGTCAAGGAATCAATGAATGTAATAATTGATAACTTTTTTTGCTTCACAATCTCGATATTTCAACTTGAAATTGATTCATTAATTCATATTCAATTGCACCTTTCATTTCACAGACAACCAAAGTTGAGTCACAGTTTGACATTTAAATTTTATGTTAGTCAGCAAGATTGGTTCATTTGAAAAATGAAAAAATGATGAAATTAATTTACTTGATATTTAGTTTCATGAAATTGAACATGATCAGAGTTTACCATTTCTGTATCAACTGAACCTTAATTATTCCATCAAGACAAATTGTCTTCTCATTATGCTCAAGTTTCATTTTGTTTCCATTCAGAGTTTACCGAAATTTTCAGGCTTTTTTTTTCAAGAAAAAAAGAGGAAAATACTTGAATTCGTGGCTTACCCTCCAGCTAAACCCTAAGAATTATATTGTAATGTATTTACATTTAAATACGATATTGAATTGTTCAGAGAAGGTAAAGGTTTTTTTCACGAATTGCCTCTAAGCATGTGATTAGTTCCAATAATTTAACCTTGATTATGAAACAAAACTCTCTTCTGACAATCTGTTGAAATTAAGATTAATAATTATTCCGAGTAATTTTGTTGTTCTATTTCAGGACCAATCCTTACCTTTTCCAGGTTAATTAATTGAAAATTTGGTTCTCGAAACAAATGATTTTACCTTGGAAATGAGTTTTACCGTTCAAATCTATCCCTTGATAAGCAGTCCATAAAATGAATCTAAAGATAGCTCGATTCAGGTTTTTCAAGGTAAATGATAAACAGTTTTTAATAGCCTTTTCCTATGGATTATGAGTTCATTTGCAATTACTAATTTTAATTAAAGTTGGCTTGATTTAGAAATATTCTTGATCAGTAATTGTTTATTAATATTCCTAACTGATTAATCATGTAAAATACAAAAATATTGCTTTTTGTTATGAAACCAGAAATAGCTTTCGAATGCCGTCAATTGAAGAAATAACTGTTGTTTAACTGTTAAGAGATTTGATCGTAAAGCTAACTCAATGTTTATCATCGATATTATTTTTATCTTTGAAATTAAGGTATGAACAGTAATGTTTTGGACTAATTTTTCAAAATTTAATTGCGACAGTTAGACTAGACTTACAGGCACCATGTAATCGTCAAAATGAAGCTAAACTTTTCAACAACGTGTTGTGAAAAAATTAATTAATTTCGATCAAAAAATGTCAAGTTATGACCTTAAATAGACAAAGGCGTCAAAATCTGATTTTACCTTTCGTCAAAAACCATATATTTTCAATGGAAAAGAGACTTTTCAAAAAACGACTTAAATTTCGAATATTTCAAGAGTATACTTCCAAATAAAAAGATCAGAAGGTCACTTTTCTTCTGCCAAAACATTACTGTTCATACCTTATTTTACAAAAGCGCAGGTTCAATAGCCAGAAATTCAACATTTAACCCTTGACCTGAAGCTGTTGCCAGAGTCGATTTTCAGTTTCATTAGTCGGCCAAACTTGCTAATTATTTCCAAGTTCAAAGATAATTAGATTCAGTTTTGCAACTTCTGAATAGATTTTGATTAAGATTGCTGTTAAACTTTACTTAATTTCTGCCAAAAACCTAAGTTCGCTTCATGTTGATGAATATGAATAATCTTTAACATATGCAAGCTATTATCGATTTTTTTCAAATTTTTGACAAAACTGTTACTAATTGATTATTTTTGTTTCTTTTATTTCCTCAACATTTTAGTGGAGCATTTTCACAAGTTGTTCTAGCTGAGAGTAAAGAGCGTCCAGGAGAACTGGTTGCCGTGAAATGTATCGACAAGAGAGCCCTTAAAGGAAAGGAAGATTCACTGGAAAATGAAATTCGTGTACTTCGTAAACTAAACCATTCCAATATTGTTCAACTGAAGGAAACTTATGAAGATAAGCAAAAGGTTTATCTGGTGATGGAGTTGGTGACTGGAGGTGAACTGTTTGACCGGATAGTTGAGAAAGGAAGTTACACTGAAAAAGACGCAAGTGCACTTATCCGTCAAATATTGGAAGCAGTTGATTATATGCATTGTCAAGGTGTTGTTCATCGAGACTTGAAACCTGAAAATTTACTTTACTACAATCAAGATCCTGATTCAAAGATAATGATCAGTGATTTTGGACTTTCCAAGATGGAAGATTCAGGTGTAATGGCCACAGCATGTGGTACACCCGGTTACGTTGCACCCGAAGTATTATCCCAAAAACCGTATGGAAAAGCAGTCGATGTTTGGTCAATTGGGGTCATTGCATACATACTTCTGTGTGGTTATCCGCCTTTTTATGATGAAAATGATGCCAATCTTTTTGCTCAGATTGTTAAAGGTGACTTTGAATTTGATTCACCTTATTGGGATGACATTTCTGATTCTGCAAAAGACTTTATTACTCACTTGATATGCGTTAATCCCAACAAAAGGTATACATGTAAACAAGCCCTTGCTCATCCATGGTAAGTTACTCAATTATTCATTTACAATTACGTGTTAATTGACCCAAATAGATTCAATCAAATCCATAGAAAGTGACTTTAGAAGAAAACAGATTAATCTTTTCCATTAACACTTTTACCTATCAATGACTTTTTATCCCCAGTTTCATGTAAATCGCTTTTGATTCTGAACAGCTTACAATTGAGAATTGCCTTTAATTATCTAATGTTTCAGGATTGATGGAAATCTTGAATCAACATTTTTCTCTCTTCAAGGAATCAACCTTTTCAGTAATCAGACAATTTAGTGATTAACAGTTGTTTTCATGTAAATCATTACAATGGAAATCTATTTATATTTCAATTTTACAATTAATAAGTTGTAGTTGAAGTTGAACAGAAAAGTTCAATTGTTGATTGCTTGTTGCAATAAGGATTTCCGCTTGAAATTTGTAAAAACATAAATTCTTAGATGATAATAGATTAACATGAAAAATGTGTTTTTCATCAATTTGCTTACCTAATGAAACATGAAAACAACTCAAGCAACAATTGATACAAAAACTAAAAGAAACTACCGAATAGCCAAAAATGGTCAAAATTTTGATAATAATAAAAAATTTTGAAAGCAAATCGCTGTACTAGAGGAACTGTTTTTAATGGTACTAAGTTATCAATTTTAACAGTGTTAAAAATAATCTTCTTATACTGGGGGACAATTGGTATGTGAAAATTTTGAATAGCATCGTTGTTTCTTTATTTCTCTTGATTTATTGACCTTTGAGAGATTAAACCTTTTGTAATCTTAGATCAACGTGTGTCCTTCAAGTTTATTAGATTCTTGGAATCTGTGCTTTTGGTGAATATTCCAGGAATATTCAGCCTTACCAACTAGGTTGGTTAAATTGTTAGTAATACGCGGTATTACATTTGTTCTGTGATTAGTCTTGGACTATTACTGTTTTGGAAGTAGTGACTACCCGGTCAACTCTTAGTTTCAACCCTGTTGAATTTATTGAAATACTCAACCCGGTTGAGCCATGCTTGTGATTCTAAGCTTCTAGGAAGCCTCTGTTACTCAAAAGTGTGTTAGAAGAACTTGGAACCGGACGTCATACAACATTTGAACGTCGGTCTTTAAATCTCTGAAGTTCATGATTATGATGATTGAACTGGCGATTATGAATTTCCCATCAAAATATTCGGGTTAAAAATGGCAGAGTCATGAACTCGTTTTAGTACTGATTTGAACCCATGAAACCCGGATACTTCTGGTTCAGATTTGTTTTGCTGATGCATTTTTTGATCGTTTTGTGCACTAAAAACGCTTCAAACAGAGGTTTATGTCACTTATCTTGGCTCTAGGGCAGTCATGCCGAATGGAGGGTTGAAATTCAGCTTTCTGCCAAAAGCCGATATAAAACTTTTTTAGGTATCTTTCTATGTTCTTTCTGTTGGAAAAAACGATTCTGAGCATAAATAGTGAGAATCTGTCCGTTTTATACCGTTGGAACGGCAAAAAGCAAAATTTGATTAAAATTTTATTTTTATTTTTGCATTTTCTATCCAAACAAGATTTTTCATGCATTTTTTATGATTGATCAAGGTTTTTCTTATCATATTCCGTAATTTTGCACCAATACATTCTTGATTTTTGAAGTGAATTTCGACAAAATCGTATTTTCGGTCAAATTCGAAATCAGATATTTCAGTCGCATATTTGACGCAAATCAATCAGCAGAATAAGTGAAAAAAACTTCAAAGATATTGTGTCAGGATGATTGAGAAAAAATTGGTTTCGCTGCGTTGCGACAAAAATAACAATATATTTATAATTTTCACATACCGATTGTTTCCCTGTACTTTAATTTATCTCTGACGTCAGATAACTATCCATTGACTAAGATAGCCAAGTGATGAGTAAGCTAGCTAAGCTGACCCTTACTAACCATTATTAATACTACTGGATGTATCAATGATATATATCAACTTTCAGAAGCCGATTACTCAACAATGGCTTTAGATAGAAATTGGATTGTCACAACCCAAATTCTTACATAAATTAAATTTCCGAATATTGTTTCATGACATAACTCGTGAATATGATATCAAAAAATTATTGGAAGATGTTAAAATACTCAAAAAAGTTTCTTCTTTCATATGGCGTCATGAGTAATTCATTTGAGTTCGAAGCTGAATTTATTTATTTTTACCATTGGTTTTCAATGGAAGAAATATCCAACTTTGAGCCTGGATTACAGCATGAAAACATTATTTTAAATCATGCTGCGATACATCGTTAGAAAGGAATTTTTTTGAAGTTTAATAGTGCCGCAAAAAATTGACATGAAAATTCGCACAGCGAAATCTGTCACTTTATCGACTTTGGTAACGAACCGTTTCATGAATACTGATTTTGATTGAAACCAAAGTAGCGCCATACTGAACTTTGACATTTTTTCTATCGGGTGGCATCAAGGACAAAGGGGTATCTGTCACCAAAAACCGACCTTAATAAATTTTGACCTTTTGAAATTAATTTAGTATTATGATAGAGGAGTTAAAAAACACTGTTAACTTTTGTCAAAAGTTCTTCAGAGTGACGCGTTCGGCCACAATCGCGCTTCAAAGTTAAAACGTTTTCGGGCAATTTCTCGTGAACCAATCAAGTTAGAGGACTGAAACTTGATATAAATATAAAAATCAATAAACTCTAGCAATGTACATAAGGAAATACTTTTTCAATGGCTGGATCACGTTTTATCGCTATTAGGTCGTTTAACTTCGAATGAGTGCCAGATGGCCAGATCACATGCGAAATTGATTTTGATTAATTCAACATTCTTCTTTTAGCATAAGCAAAAAATGTACTGCGGCTTTTTTTTGAAAAGCTTTTTTTTATGAAGGAGAATTGAGGAGAACCAAGAGTTTAATAGAAAAGGTCTTTATTAAAATTCCGAGTCTTCGCTGACTCAAGGAATAAATACGAATGTACGGTTACAATTTCTCAGTTCATTTATATATTGAAATTTTATCTTATTATCATCTGTGACCTACATGAAAACAGATGGTACAATGATTCGGTGGCAATGGTTTAAGCGATTTTACGTCTCGTAAAGTTATTACCTCTTTCTGGCCTCTTTTGATATTGTGGTTGCGCGATTGTGGCCGAACGCGTCACTCTAAAGAACTTTTGACAACAGTGTTTTTTCAACCCCTCTATCATAAAACTAAATTAATTTCAAAATTTATTAAGGCCGGTTTTTGGTGACAGATACCCCTTTCTATCTAAAGCCATTGTTGAGTAATCGGCTTCTGAAAGTTGATATACTGGGTTATTCAAAAGTCACGCAAGACTTTTTTCGCTTATAACAGCGCCGTCCGTGTAAATTTCGTCCCCCGGCCTTTTGACATCAGTACAATTTGTTTCGAATGGTTTTTAAAATTTCGATAGTTTGCATGGTAAGCTTAAACTAAAAAGAGTCTTGAACCTGAAATTATCACAGAAAAACCCAGTATATCATTGATACACCCAGTATATCCCTAACAAAATCTTGAATCAACATTTTTCTCTCTTCAAGGAATCAACCTTTTCAGTAATCAGACAATTATGTGATTAACAGTTGTTTTCATGTTAATCATTACAATGGAAATCTATTTATATTTCAATTTTACAATTAATAAGTTGTAGTTGAAGTTGAACAGAAAAGTTCAATTGTTGATCCCTGATTGCAATAAGGATTTCCGCTTGAAATTTGTAAAAACATAAATTCTTAGATGATAATAGATTAACATGAAAAATATGTTTTTCATCAATTTGCTTACCTAATGAAACATGAAAACTGTTAGTAAAATAAGTAGATAGAGAAGGTCTCGGTACAAACGTACTTTTATTAGTCTTAAGGTTCTTAGCTATTTTTAAATCAACTAATTACATTTTCAAGATCAATGTTAACATTAAAATGTTCAACAATGAAAAACATTGATGCACTAAAGCGTATTAGTGCATAAAAAGTTGGAAAACATGAAAAAAAAGTTTCTTCTTTGTTACCATTTTTTGTACACACTTGCTTACTTCAAGTGAATTTTGATTCTTATTATCCAAAAAAATGCTTACAAACTTTTTCCTCGAAAAATATAATAACATTGACTTAAATTTCTAGGATTACAATACAATTGCAATTGAAGAGTCGAGACACTAATTTGAAACCTTTTTGTTTCCAATTCAGAGTTATCGTTGAATTTATTTCCCTTCAATGAACTACTAATGCATTTTTTGTCAACAATTTTCATTCCGATTGATGAGTAAAATTTTAATCTTTTCACTAATGAATGCAAAGGCAACTATAATTAAGTTAATCATGAATATCAGTAATAAAAGTCACTCAATGTTTGCTCTCGTTTTATTGCCTTTGATGAGAATTAATTATCTTTACGATTCAAATGATTTTGTACCAAATTTTAGTCTGAAAGTTCTTAGATTAGAAAAGTTTTTCTAATTCCATTTTTTGCATCTTCAACCATTAACCCAATTCATGATAACATCCAAGATTAATTTTTGCAGAATATTGAAATTGAATTGAATTCTTGCATCATTTCATGTTTTTTACTTGTAAATTCATTTCTATTTCAGTATTAAACTTAATCTGTGATTTGATTCCAAAGGGTTAACAAGAGTTGAATCAAATGATTGAAATATGAATTTAATGATGAAATGATTATTTCGTCAACTGAACTGGTGAAAAGTTTTTTCTTTTCTCTCATTCAATTTATCTTTTCCAATGTTATCCCATTGAATTGGAATGAAAAAGAAACTAAACTTTACCCTGTAAACTTTGAATAGAGTTTCATTATAAAAGCAGTCCTGTAAGCAGTTGATTCAGATGAATGGTGAATCCTGTTTTTCATTTTATTAGGATACAAAGCAAATGAAAAAGAATCACATAAAATGACAGAAAAACATGGAAACAGCTCAGACTATCAAATGTTAACTTTCCAATTGAGAATGTTGTGTTTATCTC